GCGGAGAAAGGGTGAGAGATAGAAAACGAAGAGAAAGGAAAAGTCCCAAGAACTCAACCAGAGGGGAACGGAGGAGAAGGCAGGAAACTGACGGAAGAGCAGCAAGGCAGAGGCTGATGGGGCGGGGGGGGGGTGTGAGCCAAGCAAGCCCCCTTCCCAGATGGTTCAGCTGCAAGAGACACCGGCGGCGTTTTTCCTAAAAGGACCCATTGGAAGTGGCGGGGGGCGGGCGGGCAGTTAAAGTCAGCGCAGGCGGGAGTGCCTTTTCCTCCCAGGGTCCAGAAATCCCTATTTTATTTTTAAAAAGAAATTGGTTGGTTTCCTTTTGCTCGCCCCCCCCCCCCCAGCCACTACATCAATAAACGGCCCGGTGCTTTAGCTGCGTCTTCGCGGGGTCGCTAATATCTTTTTAATGACTTGCCCCCCCTTTCCCGCCCTAACCAGGGAGGCTTAAAGATCTGCCCTAGAGCCCAGATTTGGGGGCCAAGCAGATGTTGGGAAGGAAATGTGCTAGCATAGGCGAAAGGAGGGGAGACTTTTGGGGAGGGGGAGGATTGAAGAGAGAAAGTTCAAAAGACAGACTTTCAGCCACTGGTTTAAAATGTAGTATCTCTCGCTCCCTCCCAACCATTCTGGCCTCTGGGGAGGGGGGTCCCAATCGATTTGCTTGCTGGGAAGGAGGGGGTGAATGAAAGGAATCAGAGCTCCGCTTAGTGGGGAATGGGGGGGGGCCTCTGGCTCTCTCCTCACCATCTTTTTTTAATGCCCCCTAACTTAAATGACCCATACCTTTATGTATTACTTCTCCCAAGGAATCCCGGGAACTGTAGTTTGTTCAAGGTGCTGGGAGTTGTAATTCCCCAGAGGGGAAACTGCAGTTCCTATGATTCTTTGTGGGGGGGGGGGAGTCACATGTTTGCAATGTATAGTGTTACTGAAATTAAAGGGAGCTAAACGAGTCGTGTTCATCAATTTAAATAGATCTACTCTGAGTACCTTAATTAACTTAAATCAACTTCCGAATACTTTGCCTGAAAGGTTTTAGGCTTTGCATGCTCATTGCATGCAGAGAGGGACCCATGTGGCTATGTGAAACTAGAATGAACCACGTACGTGGGGGGCAAGAGGGTATTTGAACCCTGGGTCTCCCAGGTCCCAGTCCTCATTTAATTCCCAAAAGATAGACTATAGGCAAAAAGGCAGGGATTCGAACCCTAGCCTTTCCCAGATCCTAGTTCAACACTCTAATCGCTATGCCTGAGTTCTTAGGGGTTTGGCTCCAACAGGAGCCCTACTCAGAGTAGGCCCATTGAAATGAATGGGCGTGACTAACATAGGCCCATTAATTTATTCCTTTTTTAAAAATAAAAAAAATGTCCTTATGCTTTTTCAGCAGTAAATGCAGATAAACTGTGTAACTCAAAAGAATACCCTATTCTTTCCCCCATTTCATTACACCTGTATACATTATGCTAAACTGCTTCTGACGTTACGTTTCAATGTTGTAACCTGCCCTGAAGCTTCAGGGTGGAAGGACAGGTAATAAATAATAATCCTTCTATATCCTTGTCTGTCTGTCTGTCTGTCTATCTATCTATCTATCTGCATCTATATAATTCTCGTCCATTAATTTCACAGTCACATGTGGCTCAGCTACCAACCAGCCACAGAAAGGCCACCCAGTATCATTTGGGGTGGATTTCTTTCAAAAGAAAAAAGATGGGGGGAAAGAAGAGGTGTTTGTATACATGGGGTGAAAAGAGGTGTGTGTGGATATGGGGTGAAAAGGAGGACAAACTCAAGGGAGGGAAACTCAACCCTATTCTTTTCCCCAATTCACAAATTGGTAATTGTAGCCACAGAGAGACCTTCAAGAGCTATTGAGGACTATTTCTCTTCCCTCCTCCTTCCCTCCCCCCTTTTTTTTGAGGGAAAAGGAAAATCTGCCTCCCCCCCCAATAGTTAGTTATCAGCTGCAGAACCAACCCCGTTCTCTCACATCGCCACCCCAAAAAAAGAGCCTCGGAGATCACAGCGCGATAAAAGAATATGTATCACGCATATACACCCCCCCTCGCCAATCAAATTCCCATCAGTCCCTGTAGATGAGCTCCCCGCTCTTCATTCGATCCCCTTTCCTACAAAAGGCCTCCTTCTTTCCATGGGGGGTCCCCCTTTTCTCTTGACTTTCCCCTGCACACTTTAAGAGCAATAAATGTTGACGCTCAAGAACCATAAATCAATCTTGCCTCTTCTCTTTCTCCGCCCCCCCCCACAACACACATAACATCCCTATTCATGCACTAGGGGGGCTGAAAGAGGCTTGGAAAAGACCCCTCCCAGCTAACCCCACCCCACCCCAAAGCAGCTGTTGGGGGCTAATCTTTTTTTATCGCATTGACATCTCTGCTCATTTTCCTTCTCTCACCCACCCCCTCGAATCACTCCATCCTTGGGCTCTTTCTAGTTTCTCTCCCTCCCAAAATACCCCTCCTTCTTTTGCACGTCTTTCTTCATCACCCCTCCTCTGTTTAAAAAAAAAAAAAAAAAAGCTAGCGAAAAGAGACCACGACTCCATGGATGTCAAATTGGTCTCCAAAAGACCATGCAAGATTGATTTGATGCACTGTTCTTGCTCCTGACATTATTTCGGAGGCCTTCTGAATAGGAAACCAGAAAGTCTAAAGCTGGAATAAAGATGTTTCCTTTTCTAAAGGAGAAAAGGACTTGGGGGAGGGAGGGGGGAGGGTCCCATCACAATCTGGAGTGCAGGAAAAAAAATGAAAGAAAGGGAGGGGGGAAGGAGGGGGGCAGAAGAAAGAGAAAAGGGAAACAGTGGCTATTGAGTCCTTTGCAATATGTACACCTCCGAACAATGCCCCAATATACTAGGGGTTCTCTATTAACACCCATGAATATTAAAGTCCTTCTGAATCACTGTGGGAGTACAGAGAAGGAAATACCAGGGCAACAATGAGTCTGGAAGAAAAGGGGTCTGCTCTATTAACAGTCATGAATATTAAACTGGCTTCCTCCAAAATCTTTCTTTTTGGATAGACTGAGAAAGGGGCGGGGGAGGAAAGGTAATAAAATAAAATAAAGGCATGATAAGAAGGTGCAGGAGAGCCTGAGGTTTAGAACCTTGCACAGATGTGCAGGGGGCAGTTATTTATTCCAGGGAGGGGACTCCCCATAGGCACCATTGAGGTTGCTTCAAAGTTAAGAGCCGATCCACATGACCGTCATTTTCCCAACCCATACTCGGAAAGGGGCCGTCACAATTTGGGAGTTTGTGAGTGCAAACCAAAATTTGGTACATCTTTATTGATAAAGACTGATTGAGGCTGATTTGGATTGTTGCCCACAGATAAAGGTTAATCGAGGCTGATCAACCCTCTGTTGGTGGCAGCAGAAGGGTTCAGGTTTAAAGGCTGTGCTTATGGTGACATACCCTTCCTCTCCAATAAAGGAAGGAGGGCTGACTGGAGGAGCTGGGGACTGTGATGCTAAAGAGCAGATTTTGAATTATCTCTCCTGAGATGGAAGTTTAAAATGGTTCCAGAAAGCATGCAGACTGGGATAAAGTATTTCATCTGAGGCTCCAACTGAACATAAGAATCCTGATAGACTGCTCCTGCATCCTGTTCTCACAGTGGCCAACCAGATGCCCCAATGGTAAGCCCAGAAGCAGGACCACAACCTAACACAGAATCAAAGAATTGTAGAGTTGGAAGGAAACCCCAAGGGTCATCTAGTCCAACCCCCTACAATGCAGGGACCTCAACTAATGCATCCATAACAGATGGCCATTAAACTTCTGCTTAAAAACCTCCAAGGAAGGAGAGTCCATCACCTTCTAAGGGAGTCTGTTCCACTGCTGAAAACTGCTTACACTCAGACACCCCTCCACCAATGTTTAGTTGGAATCTCTTTTCTTGTAACTTGAAGCCATGGGTTCAAATCCTACCCTCCAGAGCAGAAGAAAACAACCTTGCTCCATCTTCCATGTGACAGCCATTTAGATATTGGAAGATTGCTTTCATATCTCCTCTCAGTCACCTCTTATCCAGCCTAAACATGCCCAACTTCATCAACTGTTCTTCTTTCTTTCCCCCCATAAAGGTAAAGGGATCCCTGACCATTAGGTCCAGTCGCGGACGACTCTGGGGTTGCGGTGCTCATCTCGCTTTATTGGCCGAGGGAGCCGGCATACAGCTTCCAGGTCAGGTGGCCAGAATGACGAAGCCGCTTCTGGCAAACCAGAGCTGCACACGGAAACATCGTTTACCTTCCAGCCAGAGTGGTACCTATTTATCTACTTGCACTTGGACGTGCTTTCGAACTGCTAGGTTGGCAGGAGCAGGGACTGGAGCTCACCCCGTCACGGGGATTCGAACCCCCGACCTTCTGATCGCAAGTCTTAGGCTCTGTGGTTTAACCCACAGCGCCACCCGCGTCCCTCTTTCCCCCCATAGATTTTATTAAAGTTTGGAAAATGATACACAATAGCTAATATCAAACATCCAATTTTCTTTCACAATATCAAAGATAAAAGAAACTAATTAAATTAAAACCACAAACTAAAAATGGGGGGGGGGGGATAGAAAGAAAAAAGGGAAAGGGCGGAAAAACAAAAAAGGGAAAGGAAAACTCCCTATTCTTCATCTGACAGATATATATAGAAAATTATTCAAAACATTCACTCCAAGGTAATACCCAACTATTCCCCTTTTTAAAATCCAGTATTTTATTTAATCCTCAAACCCAGATATCACAAGTTCTTTTCTTTGTTTTTTTACACAAGAGGAGTACCTGATCTTTAGTAAATATCAACAATGGTTGTCCCCCCCCCCCCCCATTAAACATGTCAACTTCACCATCTCAGCTAGGTCCAATAATTTTAGCAACCATTCCTCCATGGTAGGTAATTATGAATCCTTCCATTTTTGTGCATATAAAAAACTCACCACTGAGATCATATATTGAAATAATGTTCCATGGTCCTTTTCTAATTGTATATTCATTATTCCTAGAAGGAAAAGTTCTGGCTTCAGTTAAATGTTAACCTATACCCACAGCTCCCAATTCTGTTTCTTCAGTCTCATCCACTTGTATTTCTTCCATTTCCAGTTTGGATTTCTCCATAAAGTATGTTGCTAATTTTGCAAAATGAGTATTAATTCTGTATTTTTTTTCTATTTCTGCCTCCATATTGCCCACATCTTTTTCCAAAATCCATGCCAAGGAATTAATAACTTTATCCCTAATATCATAGGAGCAGATGAGGCTCATCAGCCTGAGAAGGTAACCCATCTAGGAGATGGATAACTCTGATCCTAAACTTCCACTGCCTGTGATATATCTTCAGGAGAAGGAAAGGCTAAGGAGTAAACCCTGCGCAAATCTGGAGTTGAGTCCCTAAGACGGTTGGATGGTGTCTTATATGCCTCCTTCTTGCAACGAAGCTGGTGCAAGATGTATTGCTTTCCTTTCCTTTGGACCACATCAGTGAGTCTTGTCATCTGGGCAGCCCAGGACCTCCGTAGACAAGGCCCAGGAAGGTCACTTTGGTGCTGGTAATGCAGCGGTTTGGCTTCACCCCCGGAGGTGCACTCCATTGTCTCTTGAGACAGACAGATGCCAAAAAAAATATACTCATCCTCCTTTTCTGCAATCACTCTCAATCTTAGGTAGAACTCCTTTTCCCTTAGCTTCATTAGTGCCAAGAGTCGGTCACGACTGGACCTAATGGTCAGGGGTCCCTTTACCTTTTTATCCAACTATCTGCCCATCTCTGTTTAGAACTTCACTTTTACTTTCCAAATTCTCCACTTTATCAATTAATTTCCTCATTTCTATAGATGTATAAGATTATTCTATTTTTATTAACTGTTCCTTCTAGTCTTGCCAATTTGTTTGTCTATGTGCTGGTCCAGGGGGGAGGGTACCGTGGGGCGAGGTCCAGGACCTGAGTTGAGGGTCGGCAGACAGTCCTCCTCGGGCGAAGCGGGGTCCACAGCGAGAAGCCGGGCAAGGACAGGAACTCTGGGGGAACAGGACTGGATGCTGGCCGAAACAGCTCTTCAACGACGTTGCTCCTGCAACCTGGGACTGGGCTGACTGGCCTTTATCTTCTCTGAGGCCAGGGGCGGTCCTGGCCCCCAGGAGACCCGCCTCTCCTGGCCTTAAGGCGAGCACTCCTCCTGGGAGAAACCAGTTCCCTTCGCCTCTCTGCCCTGAGCCTCTGCAGTTCAGGAGAAGCTGAAGGGTTACTGGACCCAGGGAGAGACTCACCTGTAGGCACTGAGTCCTCAACCACCTCTGGAGCCAGAGTGGATTCACCTGGTGCCTGCTCCTGAGGATCCGGCACAGGTGCAGGCACTTCAGAATCAAGGCCCTGCCCCAGTTCAGCCGGCCCTGGAGGCGGGGACTCCTGTGCAGGCTGGGATTCCTCCGGTTCAGCCTCTGAATCGGATTCCCAGGCCATCACAGTCTATTTTTAATCCAAATTGTCCATATCATTTTTAATTTCATTTTTAACTTCCTTCATCTCTAATTTAATAAATTTTGTTTTGTTCTATCGTCATCTGCCATAAATTGCCAACAGTGAGTGGGGTACAGGAAACTCCCAATTTACACAGGGGGTAAAGTTCCAAGGCACTGTGTGTTTAAATGAAATTTTATATATTTGAAATGCCATTGAAAAAAGCCTGCAAACGCCCCACCCCTTTTTGTGACAGTTTTGTAACAGTTTCAGGTCACTTCTGGGTTTGGTGTGATGTGCACACATGCAGTCATGCACATATCAGACACGCTTGAAATTCACTTTAAAAGAGGATTGGACAAATTCACGGTGGGAAAGTTTATTGATGGCTACTAGTACCAATGGTGGTATTCTACCTTCATGATCAGAGGCAGTAATGTTTATGAATACAGTGGTACCTTTGTTTACGAACTTAATCCGTTCCAGAAGTCCGTTCTTAAACCAAAACTGTTCTTAAACCAAGGCACGCTTTCCCTAATGAGGCCTCCCGCTGCCGGTGCCCTTCCACCATTCAGATTCCTTTCTTAGACCGAGGTAAAGTTCGCAAACTGGGACACTATTTCCGGTTTTGCAGAGTTCGTAAACCAAATCGTTCTTAAACTGGACTGTTCTTCAACCTCGGGTTACATATGCTTCAGGTTAGATACGCTTCAGGTTACAGACTCCACTAACCCAGAAACAGTACCTCGGGTTAAGAACTTTGCTTCAGGATGAGAACAGAAATTGTGCGGCGGTGGCGCAGCGGCAGCGGGAGGCCCCATTAGCTAAAGTGGTGCTTCAGGTTAAGAACAGTTTCAGGTTAACGACAGACCTCCGGAATGAATTAAGTAGTTAACCTGAGGTACCATTGTACTAGTTGCTGCAAACCACAGGACAGGGGAGTGCTCTTGAGCTTGGTTCCTGCTTGTGGCATCTAGTTGGCCACAGTGAGAATGAGTTGCTGGACTAGATGGGCCACTGGCCTGATCCAGCAGCTGCAGAGGCAGCCTGTGCATTAGGCTAAGTGGATCCATTTGCTTCAGGCAGTGGAACCAACCCCCCCCCTTCTGTTGCACTGCTGCCAGACTCACTGTGACTTCACCCATGCCACCAACACAGCCCCATTGCTCTCACCACGGCACTCTGACTGCTGCTGCAGCAGCAGCAGCAGCATGCTGGCAGCGTGGGTGCAGCTGCAGCTTAGAATCATAGAATCAGATAATTGTAGAATTAGAAGTGACTCCCAGGGGTCATCTTGACCAACCCCTTGCAGTGTTGGTGTGCCAGTGTGGTGTAGTGGTTAAGAGCAGTGGATTCGTAATCTAGTGAACCGGGTTCGCTTCCCCACTCCTCCACATGCAGCTGCTGGGTGACCTTGGGCCAGTCACACTTCTCTGAAGTCTCTCAGTCCCACTCACCTCACAGAGTGTTTGTTGTGGGGGAGGAGGGGAAAGGAGATTGTTAGCCGCTTTGAGACTCCCTAGGGTAGTGATAAAGCGGGATATCAAATCCAAACTCTTCTTCTCTTCAATGCAGGAGTATGCAGGTGGCCCATATGGGGATCAAACCCACAACCTTCGCAATATTAGCACCATCCTCTAACCAACTCTGAGGATGCAGTTGTGATGATGGGGCTGAAAGCAGCAGTGGCGCAATGTAATGTGCAAGGAGTGGGAGGGGACCTGGACCTGCTGGGTGGGGCTGGTGGGCATCAGAGCATTTTGCCTACAGTGGCAAAATGTCTTGGGCCATCTCTGTCTCGCAGCTCTTCTGATGTTCAACAAAATTTGGGGCTGAGATTAGCATTCTCCAAAAGGAACTTCAAGCTTTAATATTTTGGTGGTGGAAAAGGACTCAGATGCTGGCCCATGTTCAAGGTGCTTCTTCTAAACTTTTTTTTACAAAGCCCTGAATCAGATGTTTGCCAACTGCAGGTGGTCCATATGGAGGTTGTGGAACCATCAAGAATATCTGTATGTGGCAGCGAACCTGACTTTAATCATGTTTTTCTGAAGATGGAGATCAGGGCTAGATTCTTGAGCAGTCCCTAGGCTATGTCTCATGAATTTCATAATATTACATTGCTGCAGCCTGCTCATTTCTCCCTTTAAGAGATGAAAGTCAGGGTGCCCTAATCAGCAGCTCCTCTTAAGTCCAAATACGGGATGAAAGAAACTAACCCAAATCTGAGGTTCAACATAACCTTGCCTTGGTAATGGATTGTATGAGAGCCAACAAACTGATGCTCAATCCAGATAAAGCAGAGACACTATTTGTGCATTCTGAAGGAATGGGTACACAGTTTGGGGCTCCTTCTGCATCCTTTGCTGTTGCTCGAGGCTCAGGTGGCCTTGATGGTGCAGAGTGCCTTCCATCAGCTTCTGCTGGTGGCCCAGCTGCACCCCTATTTGGAAAGGGATTGCCAAACTCTGTACTCTGTGCTCTGGTAACCTGCAGGTTTGATTAGTGCAATGCTTTATACATGGGGCTGCCTCTTAAACACTTTGAAAACTTAAACTGGTGCGGAACTCAGCAGCCAAGGGGTTCACCAGAGCAAGATGTATTGAGCGTATTATACTGATCCTGGCCTGACTGCATTGGCTGCCAATTAGTTCCCAGGCCCAATTCAAAGTGCTGCTTTTGACCCATAAAGCCTATTCCAGCATCCTGTTCTCACAGTGGCCAATCAGAGGCCTGTGTGAAACCCGCAAGCAGGATCCAAGCACACAAGTACAGTCATACCTCAGATTACAGATGCTTCAGGTTGCGCGTTTTCGGGTTACGGACATGCCGAAACCCAGAAATACCAGAACGGGTTACTTCCGGGTTTTGGCACTCACGCATGCGCAGCCAAGCTAAATCACACTTTGTGCATGCGCAGAAGCACCGAATCGCGATCTGCGCATGCGCAGACACAGCGCTGCGGGTTGCGAATGTGCCTCCCGCACGGATCACATTCGCAACCCGAGCGTCCACTGTACTCTTCTCTGCTCTGGTTATCAGCAATTGATATTACTGCTTCTGACAGTGAAGGCAGAATGTAACCATCACGGCTAGAAGCCATTGATAGCCTTGGAATCATATAATTGGAAGGTACCCCAAGGGTCATCAAGTTCAACCCCCTGACATGTAAGAATGTCAACTAAAGCATCCAAGACAGATGGCCATCCAACCTCTGCTTAAAAACATCCCAGGAAGGAGAGGGCGTCTGTTCCACTTTTAAACAGCTCTTAACCTCCATTGATCAGTCCAATCCTCTTTTAAAGTCATCTAAGTTGGGGCCATCATTACCTCCTGTGGGAGCGAGTTCCACAGTCTAACTATGCACTGCATCAAGAAGGACTTCCTTTTATCTGCCCTGAATCTTCCAACATCCAGCTTCGTTGGACATCCATGAGTTCTCATGTTATGAGAGAGGGAGCAAAACTTTTCTGCATCCATTTTCTCTATGCCAAGCTAGTTCCTGAAGTGTCCACAACCAAGTAGCCAAGTGTCCACAACAGGTGCTCTTTGACCTTCTGCACACACTTTCACAACTCCTGAGCATCACAGCTGCCAAACCATGACTCCTTGGCCACAAAAGTTCATGGGAATGATGTCACAATGATCCAGTAAATGCTGCAGTGGCTACTGATTTTGCTTCTGGCCACAATTCATCCGACTTTTACTGAGTCAGAGTAGGGGTCTATCTGGCTCAGAATTTTCTATATCCTGACTGCAGTTTCAGAGAGGGGAAGTATCCAGCTTGCGGTATCTGTAACATTATAAAGCTGGGCAGGAGACAGCAGGTTATTATCTTAAAGCCCAGACAAGTATGTATCACCATGATATGATATGATATGATATGATATAATATGTTATGATAGGATATGATAGGATATGATATGATGATATGATACGATACAATATGAGAATAGAGTAGTTCACACTGGATTGCCCTGGTTTGGATTGGATTGTGTGTTTCTTTAAAGAGGGGGCACAGACAAAGCTGAAAGAGGTGGAGCCAATAATTAAATAAGGGATCAGCCCAATCCATATCAACACACACACACACACCCCCGCCCACAGTACAGTGGTACCTCAGGTTACAGAAGCTTCAGGTGACAGACTCTGCTCAGGTTAAGAACTTTGCTTCAGAATGAGAACAGAAATCACATGGCCGGCAGCAGGAGGCCCCATTAGCTAAAGTGGTACCTCAGGTTAAGAACAGTTTCAGGTTAAGAATGGACCTCCAGAATGAATTAAGTTCTTAACACCAAGGTACCACTGTACTCAGTGCCTCAGATATCACCAGCTGGTCAGACCAGTTTGGGACTAGTCTGAGTGGTGGGTACCTAACAGAAACCCCTTCCACAATTCAGACTTGGCAGTCAGTTTAGGCTCCGCATTAAGCTGAAGAAATCTATTTGCTGAGTCATTTGGAGATATAAACATTCTTGGCCCTCTGTCAAGTCCCCCCGTGCAGCCTCACATCTAAGCACCTCATGCAGTTCAGCTGAAGAAATGGAGGCTGTTTAGGTCAGGCTTTGCCAGTGTGGTGCCTGCAGGTGACAGTGTGCCCTCCAGAACCTCCTAGGGTGTCTGCAAAAGCAGTGGCAGACTTTGGTCTCTCGGACTTTAGTGGTGTCCTGTGCAACACTAAAATTTGGCATCCCTCTCCGCCTCTCACACCATTCTAAATCACTGCTGTGCTGCCCTAAAACTGCCTCTGGCGAAAAGCCTCCCTAAACATCCCAGGGCACTCCCACACTAGCAGCAACCCCTAAAGAACCTCCAGATCCCGCAGTTCCAGCCACAGCACTGAAGGTTCCCATGGTGGCTGCTTCAGCTTCTCGGTGGAGCTTGGGCCAGCTGCTCCCCCCCCCCCATTAATTCCAGGACTAGTGATGGATGATGTTCATTGGGATTGGTAGGGTGGAAGGCAGGGAGCCCAACAGTAGGTGGCTCCACAGCCAGTGACAGGCAGAACAAACTAATTCTAGCTTTGCCCCAATCCTCCTCCCTGCTGAGTTCTACAAGGGCAACCTGAGACTTAAGGAGGAGAAAGCTGGCAAACAGGGCTGCCCCTTGGACTGGTTGCAGGTAAGAAAGGAAAGCAGGTGGGGGCTGGTTGAGGGCACCCTGAGGTTGGTGGGGCAGTGCCCCATTTGCCCTAATGGAGTGGCCACCAGGGCCAGGGTAATTGAGCCAACTGCACAAGACTGCTCTGGAGGTGAAGGAAGCTTGTGTAGGCACGTGCCAGAGTTGGGGCCTTCCTGAGAGCCAGAAAGGGGCAGAGTTTTCACCTGTTATATAGGCTTTCAGTGTGAGCCAGGCTAGTGCGGAGACATCAGCTCCTGTAGGGTGTGCTCCAGAACGTGGTAATGGATGCACCTGAATTTATGTGAAGCAAACTTGGAAGTGGTGTCTTCCTGTGAAGGGGCTTATTGAAGAAGGATGAGTTATGAGCTGCTGAATGTGGGTCATCGTCCGTCCCCTGTCCCCCCGTCCCCCGTTCATATATTTTGGCTGGGAGGACTTGAAAGCTCTCTTACCTCTAGACATGGCTGCCCTAAAGGCTGTTGCCTAAAGTTTTGAAAAAGTTTTCCCATCCATGATATAAACCAATGCAGCCTGAAGGTGAGTCCCCATGAGGTCTTACATCCAGGCTACTTTACCAGGGTGCTAGCCTTTACTAGGCTGACGTAGCCTGGGACCCCAATTGTCATGAGTGTTTCTGAGTAACAGATTCAGAGGAAATCAAAAGAAGGGTGTGTGACTTTTCATGGTGGCTGAGTGGGATATTATCAATAGCTTTGTCCTCTGTGATTTTGCCTAATTTTTGATGCCATCTGAGTTGGTGGTGATTGCTACTTCTTCTTAAATTAAATCAAGAAGACTTTACCCAGGGATGACTTGGGGAAGTAATAAATGGGAGTAACTGACGGACAATTGAACTGATTCTGAGGAGGATCTTTTTGATGTTCGTGGGGGTGTAATCAAATTGAAGTGGAACTGGTTTGGAAGGTGACCGAAGGTTGGATGCAAATTAGCTGAAGAACTTTTCTGATAGGTGAAGAGATCCGACAGTCAAATAACTTACCTTTGATGCTTTGGATGGAATTGACTGGCTTCCTGTGACATTTAAACCCCACATTTGCAGCTGTACTTTCTAACTTTGCAAATGGCCCATAAACAGGTGTCTGTTCTCCGAATATTCTGGGTGCCTAGTAAAGTCCCTGGCAGCCTTAGTGTTAATATGCTCATGAGTAGTCCTCCGAGTGATTTGCAAACTTTCCCTCGCATACAACCCCTGCCTGAAATGAGCAGCTGATGGGACCTTGCTGGAAGCCTTTGCTGAACGGGAGCTTCGTCCCTTGCAATGTGTCCTCTGATCAGGAGAAGCAAAAAGTCTCTACAGATAAAGCATATTGGGTTTCACGTCAACAGCCCGCACCCCCTACTTTTGTTAACCAGCAACAGCCAGGCCAAAATAATTAATCAGCTGGGAGAGTTTTTTTCCTAGGATCAGAACCCCAGGCGCAGCTTCCCCTCCGAAACGCGTGTGGCGTGTTAAAGGCGCGAGGACAAACCCGGGGAAAAAAGGTGGCAACTCGCAAGCGTGGATGGATGCCTGCTGAGAAAGAGAGTACTCTATTCTCCTTCCGTCCGGAATTTTCATTTAGCAATAAAATTTCTGCAATTAAAACACCCTATCCATGATCAGATCCTTTTACTCCGTGTTGATGAATCTGCCACGGGGCCGCGCTGCTTCACAAGTGATTTGTACCCCACCGTTTCAAGCTTCTTTCTTACTAAAGATTTTTTTAAAAAACAAACCCGTACGTGCAACAAGCAAACACATGCACTGCACAGCACAGGCGCAACTTTGCTAGTATGGATGGGAAACCCGTGTGAACGCGGGTCAGCGATCCCAAGAGCCTGTCAAAGGAAAGAGGTTTCCAGCTTCCCAACCTCACCTCCCCGCTCCGTTTTCGTCTTCAACCTCAACGTCTTGCGATGATCCGTGTAAAGCGGTTGTGAGAATCCGCGTCATACAGTACAAAGAGTCAAATGCAAGTTCTTTCCCCGCCTCATATCTCTTGACCTGAATGGCAAACCAAATCAGCCTTCCTACGCCTCTACCCAAGAATTCCAGGGAGCTTTAAAGACACCACAGACTTTTTACTCATTTATTTGAGGAATAGCTTTCCCCCTCTAAATCTTTTAATATTATATCTTTCTGCACCTAAAACATCTTCTTAGGGGACGGTGAGGCCGGAGATATTTTATTCCCCCCACCCCCACCACCGCACCTATCGATTGAGAAGTTGGTCCTGTCCAGCCAGTGGCAAAATTACCTTTTGAGGAGGGGAAGAGTGAGGATCTCAAAGGGGACGACTGAGGAGATGCTGAGCTGAGAAGACTTGCGCGGGGGGGGTGTGTTAAATTTGAACCTCTGAGTCTCTAATACGTCTGGTTTTCGTGTTTCTGTCTAACTCCCTATATCTATCTGTATTTCTGTGTGTATCTTTATGTGTGTATTTTATATGTATAGAGTGTGCATATGTGTCTAACTCCATCGTGTATATCTGTGCATAACTATATATTGCGTGTCTCTCTCTGTGTGTCTCTCTGTATCTAACTTTCTGCGTATCTCTCTAAATAACGTGTGCATACCGATGTGTATTATCTAACTCATCTAATTCGTTCTCTCGCTCGTTCTCTATCGTGTGTGCGTGTATACCTTTGTGCACATCTATCTAACTCTCTGCGTGTATCTAATTGTGTATGTCTAATTCTCTTTCTGGTGGGTGTGCGTTTGTGTCTGTCAGCCTGTCTATCTTGATGTATGTACCTCCGTGTTTCTTCTATCTACCTCTCTCGTACGCTTGTGCGTCTCTCTCTCTCTCTCTGTATCAACTGTTCACAAACTTTGCGCCCCTAAATCCGAGTTTAAGGCGTTGCTTTTAACCTATTTCAGATGTCTGTGGTTCTGTTTAATGACGCCGCCGCCGCCAATAATAATAATAATAATAGAAATAATACAAATTCTGAGTTCCTTTCCGATTTACATATCGGATCCTCCCTAAGCGAAAGGTGGCCGCTCTGAGGAGCCTGGCAGTGCCCGTTTTCCCCTGGGAAAGAGACTCCCGATTACCTGTTCGGGACTTGCAAACCTGGTTCCGGGCTGCGCAGATGGCTGCCTGGGGTTTTTTTGTTGTTTTTGTTTTGTTTTTGAACCCTCTATTCTCTCAGGACTGTGTTTATGCCCAGGGAGAGAAATAGCGCGTCGCCCCTATAATCTGCTTCTGTTACTGATGCTTACAAAAGTGGGGGGTGTCGGGGAGAAAATAAAATAAAAATGTTTCCTACTGGGGTTTTTTCAGTCGTCAATCAAATCTTTCTCGGTCCCGTAGCCTTCAGCCTAAAAGGGCAGATCCTGTATTCCGCCGGAGAGTTTTAGGGATGATGCACTTTGCGAAGCTTTAAGAGGACATCCTAGACCTGGACCCCTGTCTCGTAGGCGCCTAAACGGATTTGAAAGCGTTTTCGCTTCTTGATCCGGTTTGAGGCAACTTAATTGGTGGTGAAGGGGAACCGATCCGCATCTAATTATCATTGGTTATAACGATAGCCGTCGACATTATCATTTTTGGTATTAAAGAGGGGAGGGGGGAGATTTCTGTTCTGAAATGTAAGAAAAACAAATTGCTTCTCTCTCTCTAATCTAGTTCCACTCCGGATTTTAAAAAGTGGGGCGGCGTTATTTGAAAAAGAAAGAGACTGACAGATTTATAATAATTTGTTTTTATTTAGAATCCTTGGTTCCTTTCCTGATCATCCCTCAAAACGTCAACTGTGAAAAAACATTTTCGTTTTTAAAACGAAAAAGCGCGTATGGTATGCGTGAGACAGATAAAGATTGTTGCTTTTAAAAAATCAGCACGCGACCAGGACATTCTGTATTTTCACCCAGGTAATTCTGTAAGGCTAGTTTATTATTATTATTCAGACGTTCCCGTTTCTGCCGCTTAAAAGCGGTTCCGAGCAGCGGATCCACAGAGCGGCTTTCGCGTTCTTTCTGCCCCATCCATCCAGCTAGGTAGAGACGTTCTTCGAACAAGCTCCAGCGCTTCAGAAAATTCCTCTTGACTTATCTGCTTAATACAATTTCTTCTGTAGTCTCTTATTCTCAATCTCTCTCACTCCTAATCCTACACTGAAATTCTATCTGACTTGCCCTTCCTGAACAACCCTCGATCTTTGCGTGAGAGCGAGCGCCCCCCGAGTTTCCTATGGGGACCCAGCTCCCCCTTTTCCTTCGACGGGCGTCCCCGTCTCTTCCCAAAACGACCTGCGTCCATAATATCTGGCGATCGGATTGGGAGAGAAAGCGCTTGGGTGGAAACGAGCGTCCAAAGAAGCGCGCGGATCCCCGTCTCCACTAGCTCAGAAACTCTTAGGAAGGAATCGAACATCTTAAGGCGCGTGTGCTGTGGATTTTGTTAAGGGAAGCAGGATTCGAGATTTTGAGGAGGTCTGCGTAATATTTGGGAGCTGGGGCAGGTGGAAGAAGTATCTATCTATATTTATTCACACTGTTTCAAAAACATAAGAGGACCCCTCCGATCTGCGCTGTCTCTCAGTTTCCAACCCGAGCGCAGCGCGTCTGCTCCATTTCCCGGGTCAGTTTCACGTCTAAAATTCCCGGTTCTCGTTTTCTCGTCGTTTTCTCTTTCTCGGCTGGAACGCCAGCCGATCGCCCGCTCCTTACACCTCTGGGCGGGTGTATGGAGGCTCTCCACTTGCCCCATTAATGAAGACCCACTTCATCCTAGCCTCAGTATTCCCTTCTTTGCGCTTTAAAAAAAGACCCCTCTTTCCAATCGAGGGGGGGGGGGAATAGATCCCCGGACCTTGCAGGTGCGATGAGATCTCTGCGTGTGCCAGAATCCCTTCCTAGATTATTATCAACATTATTATTTTAATTTTTAAACTCTCTTCTCCTGTCTAGTCCTCCCGGGAGTTGTTTAAAGAGGCTGGCAAGGCTTTTTGTGTGTGCCAGGAACCTTTGGAAATAGCAGGTGTCGAAAGATGTGATTCTCTCTCCCCCCCCCCCCCTCTACACATCGTCCTGCCTCTCTCTGTCTCTGCCTCCATTGGTGGGCTCAGGGTGGGCTAGGAAAGGCAGACTCTCCGCCTCTCCCTCTCCCCCCACCTCTGCCTAGATCAGCTGCCCCCACCCCCTCTAAAGGAGGAGGGCCCCCCTCCCTCCTTCCCACTCTCTCCCTTTTCTCAAGCGCTGGCTCCTTCTGGTAGAACAAGTCTATCTTGCGACGTCAGGGTGGTAGAGGAGGGGGGTTATTAATAACCAATTAGAGGGGTCATCGGAGCGCATATATAGTACCAGCCCTCAGGATCTGGGCCCAGAAGACTCTGTTGCCACTTGCTAAGCAGGCAGTGGCTTGGGGGTCTCCACTTGCTCCTGGGACAGCCCACCTCCCTCGCATTCTCTCTCTCATTCTCTCTCTCTCTCTTTCCCCGAACAGATCAGAGCCAGCTGCCCAGGATCTCTGACCCCCACGCAGACCCCAGCTCCAAGCTTGCCCCCCACTTTCACACACACTGCCACACACCCCAAAACCTACCATCTCCCTTGAAGCCTCGCCCCACCTTGTCCTTATGATGGGCTCCGTGCTCCCCGCGGAAGCCCTGGTCCTCAAGGGGGGGCTGAAGGGGCCCGGGCTCTCGCTGGCCGAGGTGATCACGTCGGACATCCTGCACAGCTTCCTCTACGGCCGGTGGAGGAACGTCCTGGGCGAGCAGCTCTTCGAGGAGAAGGCCGCCGGGGGCTGTGGCGGTGGAGGCGGAGGAGGCGGAGGAGGAGCGCACAGCAACCCCAAAACGGCCTTCACGGCGGAGGTCCTGGCTCAGTCCTTCTCTGGAGGTGAGTCTATCGCCCTCAGAGACCTCCTGGTGGGTCGGTGTGTGTGTGTGTGTGGATAGAGGTCTAGAAGGGTGTGAGAGAATAATTTCCAAGCTCAAACCTAATCGTGTCTACTCAGGAGTAAGTCCTGTTGCATCAACTGGTCTTGCTCCCAGGTAAGTGGGGTCAGGATGGCAGCTGGAAAGTTTAATCCCAGTCCTGTTTGCTTGGGAGTAAGTTCTATTGCATCCCTTGGAGCTTACTCCCAGGTAAGTGGGTTAGGGTTACAGCCTTAGGAAGTTTGTCTGTTTTTTTAAAAATCAAAGAGGGTTATAAACTGAGCGTTGCATTCCTGGGCAGTATTCAGCGGGACTCCAAGACGTACTTTTTGGGAGGAGGGGGAGAGGTTGCCTTAGGGGGAGGTTGCCTTACACGAGGAAAACTGAGGCGCGCTTTCGAAATCTCTCCCACTGAAACCGGACGCGATGAAGCCCCGAGGTAGCTCTCGACAGTATTAGCTCCGCCTAAACAAAAATGTGCCTTTATTAAGAAATGCCCTAAAGGCATCCCATTCCGCCTGTGGATTCATCAGGGATCTCTTTTCCCCAAATCTGCGAGGCACAAAGTTCTTTTAGAACCCCTGGCTCACAAGAAAAATGTGTTGAGTAATTTCCAGCACCCCCTCTTCCGCCCCTCATTTCACATCCTTCCCCCAAAGTATGGGTTTTCGAAAATAATTTTTCCCCCTCTAACCAACGATGCGTAAAAGTCTTGCTAAAAATAATCAGAGTTTCTCTCCTTGCGCTCTCTGCAACCCCAGAAATAAAGGGAAGTGCGGTAGAGGTGGAAAGTCCCAGGTTCAATCCACAGTGGCATTTCCTGGTAGCGTTGGGAGAGACCTCCTGGAGAGCTGCTGCCAGTCAGTGTAGGCAATATTGAACTAGATGGACCACTGGTCTGGCTCAGTGGAAGGCAGCTCCCCACGTCCCTACTTAAATCAAACTCGAATTCAGAACCACGAGGACTGGAATCTTAGTTCTTTTTAAGGGGAAGGCCAGTAGCTCAGCGGTAGAGCAGCTGTTTTGCATGCAGAAGGTTTCACTGGCATTTCCAGGTAGGGGGAGAACCATGCCTGAAAACCTGGGAAAGCCACTGCTAATCCGTGTAGCCAATATTGAGCAGATGGAGCCAGTGGTCTGAGTCAGTATGGAGGCAGCTTCCACAGCAGGCGCTGTAACTCTCCAACAGTTTCACTTTACCCCACCGTAGCATTCTCTTCCATTGCCCCTCGAGACAGAAGGATGCCGGCAGCAACAGCAAAAGTATGTGTTTCTAGAGGGGGGCGGATGGGAAGTAACTTACCTGTCCTCAAAAAGAAATCTAGAAAGCTTGATCAGGTTGGGATCTCCACCCCACCCACCCCTGGAAAAGGATGAAGTAACAGGAGACCTTGATTCGCTCCCCCAGGAGAAAATAAAAATAAAAACCCCAAAACAAAATAAATAAATCAGCCAACACATCCAGCTTCTGTAAAAGCCCAACAGACCAATTCTGAAAGCACTCTGATACTGGGATTTTCCCATCAGTGTTCTCTGAATGGTCTCCAAAAACCTCTCCCCTCCTTCTCCTCACCCGCCCTTTCAGAAGAACTAAACACATACTTTTCTGCCCCTCAACATAACCAGAGTGTAAATTTGTGCCATATTCTGACCTCCTTCCCAAAGATGTTTTAAATCTATCTTTTAAATATATATATGTATTTAAAATAATCCTTTTCTGCCTTTCTCACTCCCTGTCTTCCCCTTGAATTTAGCTCTTCACCCCCCAAAAAGTATGAGCCTTATTCTCTCTCTCTTTGAAAAGCCTTTGGCATTTAAATTCTTATTAGGCGTGTAATAGCAGCTGACTGATAAAGGAAATTTTAAATTCATTTAGTTAACTTGGGCCTGACCTGAGGGCCGGGGTGGGGGGGGGGGGAGAAATTCCCACTTAAACCAAGAACTTTAAAAGGGCAATTTGGGAGGGGGGGTGGAGAGAAGAAGAAGAAAGGGTTGATGGGGGGGGTCACATTTTTCTTTTTCTTCAAAATGTCTCAAGTGCTTTCCCCTCATTCATCAATCCTAGGACGGTCTATTTTCCCTGCTGGCATCTCCGTGGCTCCCTGCTTCTACACTCCCCCCACCCTCCCTGGAAGATTACTGTTCCTTTCTTAATTTGCCATGAAAACTCCATTCTGTGGCCTTTCAGGGGATGTCAACCAGCTAATCTCTCCCATTTTGTCCAGAGAAATTCCTGGGCCTTTTAGAACAAGTTTCTGAGGGCATTCAGGGCCGACCATGGACGGGCAAACAGCGATCTCCAAAGGCTAATGAATTTAGAATTAGTGATTTTCTATCCAAGGGACTTAAATGAATGCAGATCACTTTAAACAGTGTGACAAATTGCTTTATGGAGTGCAATGGACACTATTTAACCCTCTCCACCCTCCCCCCCTCCAGCCCAGGAACCCCCTTGTTCCACATCCCACTTTTTCCCAGGTTGGCTTAGAAAGGGAGGCTTGTAAAAGATTATGCACCAGCTCTCCTCCACCCCATTCCATGGGGTATATGCACCCCACAGGGCCTCAGTCAAGGGGCGTTGTGCTGCACACCCCATCAATGAAGATCTGTGAGTGAAAAGACTCTGTGTGTGAGGTTAGCAGGGGCACAGTTTAGAATCCCCAAAAGATCTCTGCTTGGATCAGACCAGGGGTTCTGTCTAGTCTGGCGGTCATGTTCTTACAGCAGCCAACCAAATGCCTGTGGGAAACCAGCAAGCACACAATGTTCAACTCTGGACTTGATGACCATTTGCCTCTGTGTGTGTTGTTTTGTGTTCCTGCAAAATAAATATGTTTATTTCCCCGGAACAACAAGGACTAGAAACTTAATTTGCTTTTAGGGCAAGGGTCATAGCTCAGCGGTAGAGCACCTGATTTGCACGCAAAGGTTCCCACGTTCGACCCCGGATGGCATCTCCAGGTAGGGTTGGGAGGGAAACCCCGTCTGAAATTCTGGAGAGCTGCTGCCAGTCAGTGTAGACAAAATGGAGCTACAGTATGTGGAGCTCCCTGTGTTCCTCAGCTCAGCTGGTAATGTGCATTAACTTCACTTAACTCCAACTGTGGCAGTTATACATTTGAGGGGTGGGGGCTCCAGCTTATTCTGCCGAGAGGGTCCCCAGACAAGTCTTGCCCTGATGGCGCCACTGATGAGGGGGAGGGTGTGCAAGCCCACTGGAAAGAGGTGGGCCAACAAAGCTGCTTTGAAACAACAAAAAAAGGGCCCCATGAATGTGGACGAAAGAGAACTGTTTTTCTCACTGCCCATGCAAGGAACAGGGCAAGACTCGTGCACAGCAGATGTCTAGACCCCACTCAGCAAAATGAGCAGGACCCCACTCCCAATGCAACAGGGACTTACCTTATTTTGAGGTCCCCATAAAACTATTTAGTTCAGAGTTGAATCATCCTTCAATGCACAACTGGAACACAAACATTGCTTGTATACCAGTCCAGATCTTAGGACTATCTAGCTCAGTATTGTCTACACTGACTGGCAGCAGCTTCCCAGGGTTTCAGATTGGGTGCCTTCCCAGTTCTACCTGCAGATGCCGTTGGTGACTGAACCTGGGATCTTCTGCACTCAGAGCGGATGCTCTGCTGCTGAGCTACAGCCTTTCCCTATAACTAAGGACCTAGTCCTCATGGTTCTAAATAAGCAACTGATTAAAACAAAAAGTGATGTATTACACTGAGTCAGACCCTGGGTCCAGCTAGCTCAGTATTGTCTACACTAACCACCATCAGCTCTCCAAAGTTTCAGGTGGGGCATCTTCCCTGCCTTCCCTGGAGATGCCATTGTGGTGGTGGTGGGGTTTCAGCCTGGGCCTTCTGCACTCATAGCAGATGCTCTTCCACTTATCCATGGACATTCCCCCTTCCCCTGAAGTGGAACTTAAAGTTTCAGTGGGACATCTTAACCAATTGGTTAACCAATGCATACTTTTCCTTGAGAAAGCCACACCCAGGAGCCCCCAATATTCTTGCTTATATCCAACAGTGAGTCTACTCTGAGTAAAATTCAGTGGGCTATAATCCTCTGCCAACATATTCCACGATGACCCCAATTCACAGCTACCCCAAACATCCGCACACCTCTCTAAGTTGGCGACTGAGGGCCAAGTGATTGTGCTTTTGGGGTCTGTGGTTGGGTGGTGCGGCAAGGGGGACCTATGTGTTCCACATACCTCACATGGGCATTGTGTTCAGCGTGATTTGTAGATGTGTGTCTGTGTGGATTATCATGAAAGTGTGTGCATTCCTAGTATGCATGATTGGTTCCTGGCAGGGGTCTGTGGGGTCATCAAGATAAGACTTTGAGGACACTCATCAGGGTTCCACTCAACAGAGAAGTGTCCCCCACACACAACAGTGATGGTTTTTGAGAATTGTGTGTCTCTGTGTGTTTGTAGGGTGTGTGTGTGTGTGTGTGTGTGTGTGTGCATGCACGCTTGTTGTGTTGGGCAAATTGGTAACTGGCCCATTTTCTGAATGTGGAGGCTACATTTCCGGAGCGTAAGTGATTTTAAGAGCATATAGGGAGAGCCTTGATGGATCAGACAAAATGGTTGATCTGCTTTAAGATCCTGTTTCCAATGGAGGACAGCCAAATGCCAGGTTTAAAGGGACAGCCCACCCCATTCTTTCTTCTTGGCGCCTGATATTCAGAGGTAAGCATTTTTTAAAAAAAATGATTGCTGTAACCTTATGGCTAAAGAATAACGCAAATCTCTTCAAGAGAACATAGCTTGGAAGCACACCGTTCCTCCACGCGTTATGCTGATGTGGCTCACCTGCTTTTGTGGAGTGCTGAGGTGCTCTACGGGTGTTCAGTGTTTATTTTATTTTACTAATTAAATTTGTATACCACCCATCATCTGTAGATCTCAGGGCGGTTCGCAACATAAAATACAAAATAAAAACACGACATGCATAATAAAAACAAGAACAAAAACCACAAACCAATAACTGTCCCTGCCCAAACATTTAAAAAGTGTATAAGATGTGTACAAGAGGCCTGGTTGAAGAGGAACATTTTTGCTTGGAGCCTAAAGGTGTATAATGAAGGTGCCAAGCAAGCCTCCCTCGGGAGAGCGTTCTGTTATGTGTATAGGATGTACTTTGTTATAGGGACAAGGCTTGAGCTGTGGAATCCAAAATATGTTCAAACATTACTTACAAGTGAGGCTTGTGATAAAATGTTTGCTGGGTATTCACCACCCACCCAGCCACCCATGCCCTTCACCATAATACTCCATTCCTTTCCTATTTTTCTTTCCATTAGCTTTATTTCCCATGGTTCTCATTTGTACACAAGAGGGATGTGCCTGTTTTAGTTTTCTTAAAATGTTTTTCATACTTCTGCAAACTTCGTATTGGCACCACTTCTGGATCAGCAGTCCTCTCTTGTCTCCATTGCTGTCAGCACTCATCAACTGTGTTGGCTTCTTAGTTGGAGAAGTCCAATCGCCTCTTAAAAAGGGACGTGAGTTTGCAGCGGGGACTGCCATATAGGTTTAACAGAGTGTGTTTTATAGATAGTACAACTGTTCCTGTGCCGTCTTGCATTCCTGGCTTTTGATCATCTATGCACTGGAATGAATAGGCTGTGTTGAACTAAGTTCTCACTCGGGATAGATCTAACATAGTCAATCTCTCTCAATTTAAAAGGGCTTACACACGTGCACACACCCTAATAATAATAATAATAATAATAATAATAATAATAATTTTACACAACTGCACCATACTTTTAAAGCACATTTAGTACACATTTCAAGCACATGGCTCCCCCAAAGAATCATGGGAACTGTAGTTTACTCAGAACCCTCCACAAACTGCAGCTCCCAGGATACTGGGTGGGTGGGAGAAGCCACATGATGTAAAGGTGCATTAAATAGGCTTTAAATATACATGGTGGGCATGGCCTGTTTAATGCAAGTAGTGTGATACTTCCGTAATAATATAACCTGGACAAGTCTCTGCTGCAGGGTGCTTCTAAATTTAGACAGAGAAGGAGATGACAGAGGAAAGGTTTGAGAATAACGGTGATGGTGGGGTTTTGAGCATGAGTCAGTGCACCCAGTTCTGTGATGCATTATGCATATGGATGGGGCAATGAGTGAAATCTCCCAGAGGAATTTATATACTTTGGGTTAGGCTGTGTACACACTGTACATGCAAAGCACACTAATAATAATAATAGTAGTAGTAGTAGTAATAATAATACCAGAAACTGTAGTTTGTGAAGGGTGATGGGAACTGTAGTTCTGTGAGGGGAAGACTACAGTTCCCAACATTCTTTTGTGTAGGCAAAGGGGCATCTGTTCACAATTCCTTCATGGGTGTTCCCTTTGTGTGGATGTGCACCATCCTTACGTGTCTTGTGACCCCTTTAAGAACTGAAAGCCTGTCTAGAAACCTTTTTATAAACCAACAAATCAAGAATGGATTGGGTTTTACACTGGTCTTTCATTTGGGACCCAGTGTACCTCAATCCTACTTCTGCCATTGTGGCACCCACAACTTTGGAACTCCCTGCCCCTTGACCTCAGGCAGCCATTTTTGCTGTAATCTATTTTCAGCGCCTGATAAAAATATTTTTCTTTAGGCAAGCCTCCTCAGAGAGACATTATAATGTATCTTTCAATCTGGTTTTTAGCTTCTCCTTGATTTTAATTCTTTTTTTAGGTTTCAAATAGTTGCTTTGAACTGCTTTTTTTAAAAAACTGATCATTTCATAATTTTATAAATTGCTTTGTTCTTCTTTACAATCAAGTGGCATATGCACTTTGAAAAATGCATAATTATTCTTCCAGCCTGCTCCTATAGCTCTTAATGCAAAACAGTAATGCAGCCATAACCCCCTGGTATTCTCCAGAGACTCTTGGCTGTATATACGCTTCATCTTACTCTGCATCCAGAGCACTCCCTTCACTGGTTTGGGAAGTGGTATACACAGTGCTTTTTTTTCTTTAAAAAAAAAATGTTTAGGGGTACTCTCATTTTCCTACTCATATTGAAATACTGCCCCTCAGTGAGGCCAAACTTAGATTCACAAAATGAATACCCCTGCGTCCCCCCAGAAAAAAAGCACTGGGTACACACGACATTAACCCCCATCCATATCTATCCTGTCCTTTCTTAGGAAATGCTGCATTTTGATGTATCGCCCTCTAAAAAATCCCAGATTCAATCCAAATTGTGAAAAAGGATGGTCTCAGTGCATTTTAAGCCAGTAATGTGTGCACACAGCACCAGCCTGCTTTAACAACAAACACTCTTACCTAAATCAGTCCCCAGATCGGGTTGCATTTCCAGCTTGGGCACCACCAGCACAATTATGCAATTTGCTAGATTTCTGCCTGCACCGGAGAGGTGAGCGCCTCTTTTTAACCTGCCTCACCTTTAAAAAAGCATCTCTTCGAAGAGATGACAATGGAAGCAAAGTGGCAATGAACTGGGGGAGAGCTCTCGGTTTCACTGTCAGCTGCTCATATTACTGGCACACGAGCCAGTTGCCTTCCTCCCACTATGGAGATAGTGAGATATGGGATCCATTTTCCCCGGGCTCTTTTCCTGACCCAACCCAGGTGTTCTGTGTTTCTTTTCTTGCATCCTCTGGACAATGAGAATTGTGAATGGGAAGGCAATTGCTGTTAACCCTGATAGCTATGCTCTCCCACCACTATCAGAGGCAGCAATGCTTCTGAATGCTGGTTGCTGGAAACCACAGAAGGGGACAGTGCTCTTGAACTCAGGTCCTGCTTGTGGGCTTCCCGCAATGGGCATCTGCTCAGCCCCCGTGAGAACAGGATGCTGGACTAGATGGGCCTTTGCAGAGCTGTAGCTACAGGGGGTGGGGGTAGTGTGAAGCATTCAGAGGGGCACCATTGAGGCTCTCAGCCTGTGTGTGTATGTGTACACAAATGCTCGTGTGTGTGTGTGCCAAATTGGGTCTTTGACCCAGGTGAAATAAAGCCTAGTTTCACCTCTGGATCTTGGCCTGATCCAGCAACCAGGCTCTTATATTTTGGAAGGTACGAGCAACCCATTGCATGATCATGATAAAACATTGAATGACTGGCCCTACCATTAGGCAAAGTGTGGTGTCTGCCTTAGGTGTCTGATGCGAACGGTGGCAGTAGCAGAACCTCAAATCATGATTTTGAGCTCCCCCCCCCCCCGCCTTTCAAATGCCCAATGTACATAAACAGGTGTTGTTTTTGGGACTCCGGATGACAACTCTGTTATGGTAGTTCTGTTGTTATTCCCACATTGCAAATTGGGGACAGCTGAGTTTGAGAAAAGGGGGGGGACCCACTGATGTTAGTGGAATTTTTAACCAGGAGCAAGAACTGAGGATTGTTGAAAATTCATGACAAATCTCTCAGCTGCGCTAACCATACCCTCAATTTACAGAGGCAGTATAGCTGAGACGTTCAGAGATGACAGACTTTGTCTTTGCAAACTGCTCACAAGGGCTCAGAGACATCTGCTGGCCACTGGTGGAAACGGGATACTGGGCTGCTTTGATCCAAAGATGAGGCAGTTCCCATTGCTCTGTTCCTGCTTGCTCCGAATGCTGGATTACCCATAGGGCAGCCTAAGCACGTTGCGTGTTGCGTTTCCATTTTTGTAGATTGTTACATTTTGCAACACAAGGATTTGTGTTTGTTTAGAGCTCTAGTGAAGGAGGGGCACCAATAAAAAAGGAGAAAATCATGAGATAATTTGATATTTCCAAAAAACAACAATCAAAGTACAGTAGTCATCATGGGGAAAATCAGAACTTTGTGGACTTCCTTACACTCTATTCCACTGAATTGTTTTAACTCGATTTTGAATAAATTTGCAACTAGTTATTGCTGTTTTGAATTTTATTGTGTTATTAGCTTCCTTAATGGGTTGTGCAAACTGCTATTGTGAATGATGCTTTTTATAGTGTGGGGGGGGAGCATTTTGGGCCCCCCAAAAAAGTTTGGGAACCACTGGTGTAGCTTAACTTCTTTCTCTCCCTCCCTTTTCTCTTTCTCTCTGACCCACAGAGGTCCAGAAGTTATCCAGCTTGGTGCTGCCTTCAGAGGTCATTATTGCCCAGAGTTCCATCCCTGGAGAAGGGCTGGGCATCTTTTCTAAGACCTGGATCAAAGCGGGCACAGAGATGGGACCTTTCACTGGCAGGATCATCTCCCCGGAGCACGTGGACCTTTGCAAAAACAACAATCTGATGTGGGAGGTAAAGAAGCAAGGATGTGTGCATGTGTGTGTCCACATGAGAGAGGAGGGTGACTCTTCTTGGAACGGGGTGGGGAAGCCATAGCTCTCCAGATGTTGTGGGACTCCAATTCCCATGAACCCCTGCAGCCAGCATGGCCAATGGTCCAGGAATGATGGGAGTTGAAGTCCAACAACAACTGAAAGGCCACAGGTCTTCTATCCCTGAATGAAGAGATGGGATGCAAGAGATGGAAGAATGCCTCTTTTTTTAACAGGCATTCCCCCATTAGGAAGGGGAAAGAAGGGGTGCTAGGGATTGAACCAGGGACATTCTGCATGCAAAGTGGATGCTCCAGCTCTGAGCTACGTCCCTTTACTTAGGGTTGTGGAACAGCCCATAATAAGTATACTTGGCCTTGTATTTCCTTTTATCCTCCCATTCCTGATGACAGAGATTGAGGCCATTTGGAGCAGCAAATCTACAGCCCACAATTTCCACAAATTGATGCTAGTCCTGTGTATGAAAACAGGCACACCTGTCATATTAGAATGGCAAGATCACAATGGTTCAAGTGTGAGTGATATGCGCTTTGATTTCCAGAATAAATAAAAGTTTATTCAGAAGTCTGCTGAGAGACATCCTGCATTGCAGGGGGTTGGACTAGATCATGGGTAGGCAAACTAAGGCTCGGGGGCCGGATCCAGCCCAATCGCCTTCTAAATCTGGCCCGCAAACAGTTCAGGAATCAGCGTGTTTTCACATGAGTAGAATGTGTCCTTTTATTTAAAATGCATCTGGGTTATTTGTGGGGCAAAGGAATTCGTTCATCCCCCCCCCAAAAAAAATACAGTCTGGCCCCCCATAAGGTCTGAGGGACAGTGGACCAGCCCGCTGCTGAAAAAGTTTGCTGACGCCTGGGCTAGATGAACATCAGGGTCCCTTCCAACTCTCCAGTTCTACGATCCCCACTCACTCAGTGATTTCTGAGTGGTCTGCAGTGTGTATGTTTGAGAACTGCCATCTTAGATTGCTTGAAAAGAGGATTAGAAGTCTATCAATGGTTATGAGCCGGGCTAACTAAATAAAACCTACCCATTTATTATCTTATTAATTAGTTTTTTATACCACCTTTCATCCAAGTATCATAGGGTGGTTTACAATACAAAAACACAAAAATACGTAAGATAGACAAAAACAATACCCCCCTCCCAGTTTAAAAGGCCAAAGAATGTTTAATTAGCCAAAGGCTTGGGAGAAGACAAATGTTTTTGCCTGTCACAAAAGGTGCCAGGGGAGCTTCCCTGGGGAGAGCCTTCCACAAACGGAGAGCCACCGCAGAAAATATACATTCTTGTGTTTCCACCCCCAAGGCCTCTTGTGGCTGAGGCAACAAAGAACGGCTTCAGATGAAGCTTGCAGGGTCTAGAGCGGTTCATATGGGGAGAGGCAGTCCTTGAGGTATTTAGAGACGTTGTACCTGAGAATATCACTTGCGGGGGTGGGCAAACTTCCAGAGGCATTGTTGCCTTCAGCATCCATTTATGGGCCTTCTCAGAAGACTCTATGGTTATGAACTAATGCAGCTATTAGGAACGCAGGGAATGCCTGTGGGAAAGAATGAGTCAGAAGGAGGCAGTGGAATGGATGGCTCTGTCACACAAGCTGACTAGGTTGCCATAATAGACATGATATAAGTGTATAAATTTATGCCTGGCATGGACAAAGTGGATAGAGAAAAGCTTTCCTTCCTCTCTCGTGATGCTAGAACACATGGGCATCCAGTGAAGCTGAATGTTGAAGGATTCAGGACAGATCAAAGAAAGGACTTCTTCATGCAGCTCTTGGTTCAACTATGGAACAAGGCTATCCATGGCTACCAGCCACAATGGCTAAATGCTCTGCATCTATGGCCAGAGGCAGTAATGATTCTGAATACCCAGTAGCTGGAAGCCACAGGAAGAGAGGGTTGCTGTTGCACTTGGGCCTGTTTTGCAGGCTTTCCATTGGAACATCTGGCTGGCCACTGTGAGAAAAATAAGTTTTATGTAGGGTGCAGAAAGATTTAAAAGCCCAATTTTTAAAAAATCTTGATGCTCCGGATAATTTTCTACAACTTTTCTAACACACTGATGATACCTTTTCTGGGGTGGGATAACCTGGATGCATCTATTCAGATGCGGTAGTTGAGTGTGATTCATGGACTGAAACCCTCTTGCCCTTCTTTCCAGGTCTTCAATGAAGATGGAACTGTCCGTTATTTCATTGATGCCAGCCAAGAGGACCATCGCAGCTGGATGACATACATCAAGTGTGCCAGAAATGAGCAGGAGCAGAACCTGGAGGTGGTCCAAATTGGGAACAGCATCTTTTACAAGGCCATTGAGGTAAGGGTGTTACGGACAAGGGAATGGGTGAGAGCAAAAATACTTGCCTTCAACCTAAGTTGCTGATGCTTCTTCAGACTTTTTATTATTCTTCTGGTGCTGGGGAGTTCAATGTAGAAACATAGGACTGAATCCAATGTAGCGCCAAGGGAAAGCAATTTACTGGTGTACTTGTTCTGCTGCTGAAATGCAAAGGCACTTTGTCATTAAACTAGGATGGCTTTAGAAGGGGATTGGACACATTTGTGGCAGGTAGAGCTATTGATGGCTACTAGCCATGATGGCTATGCTCTGTCTCCACAACCAGAGGACGTAATGCTTCTGAATTCCAGTTGCTGGAAACCACAGAAAGAGAGAGTGGTCTTGGGCTCGGATCCTATTTGCAGGTTTCCCACAAGCATCTGCTTGGCTACTGTGAGAACAGGATACTGGACTGGTTGGGCCACTGGCCTGATACAGCAGGCTCTTCTTTGAAATCTCGGAAGCCAGAAGGAACGGCTCTATGAAATTCTTATTGGTAATTGTATTTTGTTGTGGACTTTTAGGTGTTTGACACAATATGCTTTTCCCTGTACAAGTTTTTATGCTGTCTTTGATTGGTCAGTTAGCTAAGTATTTTTATTTATTTACTTGATTGGTGGGGGGAACTACCCCCTGCTCCCCCCTGGCTACGCCCATGTTAAGAGGCTATCCACTTTTTAGTTTTGCCTCTTATATAAGGTGCAGCTGAGAACATCTCTGCATAATTTCTATAGGAGAATGGACCATTAGGGCAAATAGGGAGGTGCCCCATCAACTTCAGTCTGCCCTCAGCCAGCCCTTACCTGTCTACCTTCTTTCTTAAATTTAGAACGGAACTGGCTACCAGCTTCTTCCTCCTGAGTGTCAGAGTTGCCTTTGTAGAATTCAGCCGGGAGGAGGAAGATGGGGGGGGGGGGGGGAACTGGAATCCATCAGCTCTGCCCCTCATTGGCTCTGGCACCACCTATTGTTGCGCTTCCTGCCTTACACCATACCAGTTCCAATTGGTGGCAGCCACAACTGCTCACTTATTTTTCATCTGTGCATGTGTCCATCAGAGATTGCAACTGAGGACTTTAGTTTAGGGGGTGGGGAGCTTTTTGCCTTCCTGATGTAGCCAAGCTACATTGTCCACCAATCACTGAAGCCGAACAGTCAAGGCTGAGGAGAGCTAGAGTCCAACAACATCTGGAGGGCTGGAGGTCACTCTACTGCTGGCTTTAGGTGATCTATCTGTTTCACTTTAGTGGACAAGTGAAGCTTTGCAAATGTGGGGAAATGCTGGAACCTGAAGACCACACACAGCGAGCATCTACCCCTGCAGCATATTCTGAAATGCAACACACACAGATGCAAACACAGCCTACGCACACCCAAGTGCTAAGAACAGTTATTACGCGCCATCTTTCATGTCTGGGGTTTTGTCTCCTAATGTGAAAATGATAGTTAAGATTTTAGCAACACTTGTAGGTTTACTTTTGGGGAGGGGGAGGTTCTTTTCTCCTGCAGAAGATCTCTCTAACGCCTTTTGCCATTTTGCTACTTAGCTTTCGTAAAAGAAAATAACTGCTCTCTGTGTGATGTAGTGGAATGTGAGGGTGTTTTTGCAAAGAAATTGCACCACCTTTCTCTGCAAAAGGCTGGTGTAACCTTTTCATCCAAGCCTGGAAAATGTTTCTTTCTTTTCTCTTTTGTTTGGCACTAGAAATGATATCACAGTTAGCACTGGGCAAGCCTTGGTGAGGAGGCTGTTCCCAAAAATGTGGGGAGGCAGTGCTAAGGAGGCCCCCTCTCTGGTCACCTGATTTCAGATAACCTCTTGTATGTGATGGATATTTCAGAGTGGAGAGGATGCCTGTTTTAAAAGGATGCTTTCCATCTACAGTTTTTATATATATATTAAAACTGCAGCTGTTTGCCTGGCAGAAGAGGCTAGCTCCTTTTCTGTTCCAAAAAGGCTATCCTCCTCTACTAGGTGCAGCCAAAAGATTAAACATATAAATAAGAAATAAATATCTCCTGCCGGAACGATTATGGCATGTCTTAGATTATCCTTTTTTCTCCAACTGATTAATCTAATTCAAGGGTGGGGAAATGGCCCTCCAGGTCTCGCTTTCTCGCCCTTGAGCTCTTCTTATCCCTCAATGACCTTGCTTGAGAGAATTTGAGGTCTGATAATGCCTCTTCTGGTTTCCTGGATGGAGGACAGAGAAACTAGCCAACAAAACAAAGGGACATTTTTACATGCATTGCTCCATTCACTTTTCCCTCTGGACCCACCTACCACTGTTATGTGGCCCTTGGAAGGTCACCCAAAATAGAATGCAGCCCTTGGGCTGAAAAGTGTTCCCCACTCCTAATCTAATTGGTTAAACATTGCAGCCCTTAAGCACAGGGACTGACACTTTGGACATATCATAATATAGAATAATGGTTAGAAGGGTATCAGCACAATCCTCGCAATAGCTGACCAGACGCACCAGCAAACAGGACCTGAGAACAAAAGCTCTCCCCCCTCCTGTGGTTTCCAGCTACTGGCACTCAGAAGAATTGCTGCCTTCAACCATGGAGGCACAGTCTAGCCATCGTGGCTAGTAGCCATGGAGAGCCTCCTCTTCCTCCATAAATTTTTCTAACCCTCTTTTAAAGTCGTCCCCCCACTTCTCTCTCTATAGATGATTCCTCCGGATCAAGAATTGCTTGTTTGGTATGGGAACTCCCACAATACCTTCCTGGGGATCCCTGGAGTGCTGGGACTTGAGGAAGAGCAGAAGAAGAGTAAGCACGGTGAGGAGATGGTTGAATTCTGCTCAGGGTTGGCATTGTATAAAACTTGCCTTTCTTAAGATTTCCCTCTGCCAGTTTGCGGGATTTGCGGGGTGGAGTGGGGAGGAAGTGGGAATAAGTCCCTCCTGTTTCTCTCTCTCTCTCTCTCTTTTAAAAAAAGTAATTTGAAGAAATCAATACAAAACAAATACAAAAAGCAGTGCAGTATATCTGAGAAGAGACTTACTAATAGGTTGGTAAAGCACTTAAGACCACCAGGAAAGTCAAATTCCACGCTGTACCAAGGAGAGGGAGTCTCACGTGTCTGATGCACATAAGATGGTACCCCACCAAACCACACAGAATTTTTCAGGGTCCTTTGAGCATTTTGACATGCGATTTATGAGTTATTCTTTTTCCAGCTGATGCTGAGTGCCACATATTTTTAATATCATCTGTTGTAAATGTTTTAGGTATCCCTAGGGGGAAAGAAAGGTGTAACTATTTTTATCCTGCAATGCAGACATGCACTTTAATTCTTGTTGTTCGTCAGTTGCAGCATCACAGCTTGTGTGTATGGGGGGGGGGTAGTCTCCTGATGGAGGCCCGCCACTTTGTATCTTTTCAGGGAAAGCCTTTAAATAAAATTGACAAAGCTCTTAACGTTTAATCTTGCTGCTGTGTTTCAAATGAATGCATCAACTAGGCCGCTGCCATTTTAAATGCTTTTATCTTACTTAGCTGGGGCTTGCTGGAATGCAAGCCAGCCTCAAAATATTTTCTTAATTTCACTTATTTATACAAGAAGCGACAATCAATATTCAGCAATTCCTGTCTCCTGCACAGAAGCACCAAATATCTAGTTAATTACATTCAACTTTCAATTTATAAACAAAGATATCACTCTGCAAGTTGCCATATGTCCTCGGAGGCCTGTAACCATGTCCCATTAATGTTGCATACATAATAAAACTATACTAGGTTTCTTGCCTGTTCGACTCTCTCACATATGGGTTGCCAGTTTGTCCATCGGCATTAAGTTCCAGAGTTGTGAGATCCAGATCTCAAACAGGTCTACATTGATAGAGTCTTCCAATAAAAATCCAGGGCATAATTGTGCCCACAGTAGGTCTTTGAAGCTATCAAGGAGAAGTATTTATACAGGGGAAAGGAGAGAAGTGGTTTCTAATTTTGGGAATCTGAGGGCATGCAATGAATTTTTAAAAGATATTATTTCATTCGGGCTGTGTCTTTTTAAAGTTTTCGTTCCTGTTGTATATAGAGTGGTACTGATGTTGCTGCACGACCCTCCATGATAAATATTAATTGCATTGTTTATTTCATTAATGACATACATATAGAATATGGGCTTGATCCGTCCCCATCTGTGGGCTCACCTGCTCCGGGCATGAGTAACTTCCAAGGTAGGGTGCTCCTTGGGAGACGAGGGATGGCTGGAGGGGGTGAACCGGAGGGTGACAGTGACATCCCCTATGCAAAGTGGCAGCCCCTGCACTGCACATGAGCTACTGAGGCCAGGCAGGGTGAAGGAAGAGGGCTCCTTTGTGGGGATGGATCAGGCCCTATAGGATTATATAGTTTTTTATTAAAATCAGGGGCTCAATATCTCATTATTTACTTCAGGAGTGAATTAATGCAATGCGCTCTAAGTGGGCCATCCCTCACACTTGTCCCAGAAGTTGCAATTGGTGCAGAATGCTGCAGCATGATTGCTGACAGGAGTGAGGCCATATGAGCATATAAAACCTGCACTCAGAGATCACTGGTTGCTGATTTGCTACCAGGCCAAGTTCAAGGTGTTACTATTAGTATATAAAGCCCTTAGCAGCTTGCACCCAGCTTACCTGCAAGGTCACAAGTAGACCCACTCAACTGCTTCAATCTGCAGAACAGGCCCTGTTACAGGAGCTGCATAATACTCATTCCAGATTTGTAAGAAATCAGATCTTTTAGTGTGGCAGCACCCACACTTTGGAACTCCCTGCTTAGTGAGAACAAGCAGGTGCTTTCACTGTATTCTTTTCAGCACCTGTTAAAACCATTTTTGTTTAGGGAAGCCTACCCAGACACAAAGAAGTGGCTTTTAGCTTATTTATTGTTTTTTAAAAAGTTTTAAATAATTGATTTTAACAATTTTTTTACCTAATGATTTCATTATTTTATTCTCTTTGTAAACAATTTTGGGGATTTTTTTTTTTTACAGTCAAGTGGTGTGTAACTTGTAATAATAATAATTAAAATTAATTGTTCACTCTCACCAGCCTTCTGAGTACATAACATGTAGGACTGCACTATAAAACCTTTTCATCCCCTGAAAAGGCATTCTTATTCACCAGATTTTATCTAGAAAGTCACAACCCGAATGAAATAATATCTACTCCCCTCACAGAGCTGCAGCTATCACAGTGGTTTAACCCAGGCATAGGCAAACTTGGCCCCCCAGCTGTTTTGGGACTACAACTCCCATCATCCCTAGCTAACAGGACCAGTGGTCAGGGGTGATGTGAACTGTAGTCTCAAAACATCTGGAGGGCCGAGTTTGCCTATGCCTGGTTTAAACAATTCCTCTGGGAACTGTAGCTCTGGGAGGGAAATAACAGCGCCCTGAACAAACTACAGCTCCCAGGATTCTTTGGGGGAAGTGTTTAAAAAGCGGTATGAAACTATTTTAAATATATAGTTACAGATGAAGCCTAAGTGTATAAAATGATGTTTTGTTTGGGAGTGGGGTTTGTTGCTGGAAATAACCTAAACTTCTCCCTCTTGTCCATTGCCCCTGCAGAGGACTTCCACGCAGCTGAAGCAGGTGCCAGTTCCACCGGCCGCATGCGCTGCGTCATCTGCCACCGCGGATTCAACTCCCGCAGCAACCTGCGCTCCCACATGCGCATCCACACCCTGGACAAGCCCTTCGTCTGCCGCTTCTGCAACCGCCGCTTCAGTCAGTCCTCCACCCTCCGCAATCACGTCCGGCTCCACACCGGCGAGCGCCCTTACAAGTGCCAGGTCTGCCAAAGTGCCTATTCCCAGCTGGCCGGCCTGCGGGCCCACCAGAAGAGTGCCAGGCACCGGCCCCCCAACGGCTCCCTGCAGTCGCATTCGCCGGCCCTGCCTGTGCCGCACCCCACCTCCCTAGCTCACCACATCCCCACCATGGTGCTGTGAGGTCGGGAAGAAGCCCCCTGGCACTGCCGTGAACTGGTGGGCACCAAGGCATTGGTGAGCGCGCAGGGGAAAGGGGCAGGGGGATTTTTGTGGTGGACCCATCCAGCAGCGGCTTCTAGTGGGGCTTGGCAAATGGAACTTACATCTTCGGGCACATGTCTACCGTCTGAACAAGAGAAGGGGGGGGCAGGGCGGGGCCTCTGGGCCCTGCTTTCGAGATTCCCAGCAGCCTTCGGCTGCCCACTGTCAGAAACAGAGCACTGGGGAGGGATTAAAGGACCTTTTGGTCTGGTCTGGAATGATATGGGGATTCTGCTCTGGCAAAGTCTCATTATTCCTAAGTGTGAGAACTAGGTGGGGGACTCTCTTAATTTTTTATTTTAGTATTTCAATATTTCCATCCAAGTTCCTTGGGTGATTTCCACCATCTTGGTTTCTTGTTCATGATGTGAGGCCTGTATGGTCTTCCCTATTTTGCCCATTGACTCAGGCATCCAAGTTAGATATATTTCTGGGGACGAGATAAGAGGCTGAGTGTAAGATGAAGCCATGGCAAAAATGGAGAGAAAAGTAAAGGGTAGAGGAATAAGCACTTCTTCACACCATTCTTAAGTTTAAAGCAGGAATAGGGAACGAGATGTTGCTAGACTCCATTATCCTTAACCGTTGGTCATCCTCCAGAGCTAGACAAGGTGAGATCTCTTCCTATGGCAGCAGGATCCACCAGGGCAGCAGATCTAGACTTGTCACATGTCAGGAAAATTCCTGACATGTCCTGGTTTGCAGGTGTAAAAATGGCGTGGGGGGGGGGATTTTGCCAAATCGTCAAAATGTCAGAGAAAACCAGGATGGAAAAAGCAGCGAAACAGCTCAAAAAGCTTAAAATCACTATTATTGGGTTAGGTTTCCTCAAAAAAGCTCAACAATTTTGGGGTCTTCCTAAAGAAAGCTCACAACTTTGCGGGTGTCAGGAATTTTAAGCGGATCCCAATGTCAATACTTCTTTCCGCCCCTTGTTCCCGAAGTAGATCTTCCCTCCCCCCTTCTTCCTTGGCAGGGAGGGGGGGTGCCATTTTGGAGTCAGCTTCAGGTGTCAACACATCTTGGGCCAGCCCTGCCATCCTTGCTGCAGAGGCTGATGGGAGATGGAGTCCAGAAGTATCCAGAAGCCACCACATACCACACATGGCTATTCTAGAGGCTTGGTGGTAGTTATCAGGTGATCCCACTTCTCTTCTGGATTCGACAAAACCTGCCCACACACTCACAGGCACCTGCACTCCATTATCATCCCCTGTGGTAGAATTCAATCCCAGGTTCCTGAATTGAGCTCTGGGGTTCTTAACAGGTAGTTGGTTGGGGTGGGGGACTTCATGGTTGGTGGATGATCCAGCCAAACTGGACAGGGTTCTGGGCTCTTGGGCTCTTCACACCTTCTCCAGCTCTGAATTCAGGTTGACCCCTGTTGCTTTCTGCCGTAGATGTGAATTGTTATCTCCACTGAAAAGCTTCATGCTCTCTTTGACCTCTGGTGAAATTCTTATGGATCAGCTATTGACAAGAGTTTCAGCACCACTATAATCCCAGGCTAACTGCTCCCATCACAGATGGACTGTGAAGTAGGAACATAACTTTAGAACAAATCAAACTATTTGATTCCATCAGTATTGTCTACTCTGACCGAACCTCTCTCCATCTCAGTCCTCTTTCTCTCTCCATGGCAATCAAGATTGTTTGTAAACTCTGCATCCAATAAAGGAGGCATTTGTTTCTGTTCTGTTTTTGTAAAATATACATTTTTTGTAATAGTACCTATTGATGATGATATCTATTCCTATTGTAAGGAGATGATATATAGAGTTGTCTCACAAATGGTGTTCGACTTCCATGAAATGCTGGTCACTTTAACATTGTAAATATAAATCTGTGTAAAACGCTATTTGATATTATATATAATTTGATTGTATTATGTACACAGTTGTATATACATCTTTGTACCTCTCTCATTCTCTCTTGTATTATAAATAATAATAATAATAAAAACAACCCACCACAAATTACTGGCGATGGAAGATATGTAGATACTTCAGAGTTTACATTATTTAATTTTTTTAGAATTGGTGTGATTCGAAGTCCCAGATTAAAACCGCTTCCCTGCCATGAATAATGGCAGGTAATTAATACTGGCATACTTTACAGGAGCATTGTACCGATTTGTTCCTTTGTCCAAAGCATTTATACACGAGTCGCAATTGCTTACTGGAAATAAGAGGAGTAGCGGGTGAGATGGCAATGTGGTTCAAATACATTGGTGCAACCTATCTGGCACTCCTGATGGTGAGTTTGCACTACACTGACCTCCCCACTGCCTTGCTTCAATACAACTTAACTATAGCTTAAATAGTGCTATTCTTATAGAAAAAGAGATGCCAGAACTTACCATTAACACCTCCCTCATTCTTAGAATGGCCATACATCCTCGGTTTAAAAACTTCCAAGGAAAGAGGAGGTGCCAGACACAAATCGTTCAGGGGTGTGCGCGTGTATTTGTGTGTGGTGTTTGTATATTAAGGGACATGTAGTAAAATGTTGTGTAGAGAAACATTTGTGGGATATGAAGTAAAGTGAGAGCAGTGGGTGGGCTGTGAGGAGGAGGATGGAACCTTGGGGTGTGCTGTGTGCTGATTGGCTGAGGATGGAGTGTGATAGGCAGGTGACAGTTGGGACAGGTATGTGTGACAGTTAAAGGCAGTTGGGCTTTGGAGGAGGAGGAAGGAGGAAGGAGGGAGAATCCAAGAAATCCATTTCCTCAAGACACGTTTGTGGCTTAGACAAGCTGATTTGTCTCAGGAGGGCAGTTTGGTCCCAGGGACTCCAGTTGCCAATCTCATCTTTGGGAAGGAGTGAGGAATCTGCTCTGCTGAGGTCTTCCAAAATTTGGCAGTTGTGGTCCCAACCTGTGTCAACAGATACAAAATCAGTTCCTTGTTATATACAAATTCAAAAGAGCCAGACAAGGAGAAGGGTGAATTGTTGGCCCAGTTATCAAAAAGATCTCAGAAAATACTTTGGTCCAGGACCCTTTGTTTGGTGCCCTCCTGCCAGATATGCCTGTGGGTCTCAGGATCCTGGCATGGTGGGGAGGCACCCCTAAGTGTACAAAATAAATTCATTGTGATGTCAAATAGCAACCATGTGCCATTTGCAGGGAGAGTTCCCTGGTGTGAGCCGAAAGAGAAGAGCTTTCTCCCATCTTATTCTTGTATCTGAACTTGCCTGGGAAGTCTCTTGTCACCATAGGCATAGCTGGGGGGCAGGGGGGGAAGCTGCCCCCCCATCAATAAAAACCAATAAAAACACATAGCAAACTGAGGTTCTGCCCCCAAAATGAAAGCCCCCCCAACCAAAATCCTGGCTATGCCCATGGTTGTCATTCTTTTTGGCCGGACTTAACTTGGCAAGATCTCCCTCTCCCCTGTCTCAAGGTCTTTGATGAGGACTCCGTCTGGGTGGAAGGGAAAGGGAAAGAAACCCAAACTGCCCCTATTCTGTTGACTACCAAAAGATGCTTCTTTCAAGCCTGATTTTGGTGGGGGCGAGAGGTGAACCTGTGGGCGCCAGAGACGGTCTTTCTGGCCCCCAAGGTGCCCTTGGGGGGCATGTTGGCATGTCCTATCCAAGGACTGCCCCCCCACTGGCTCCCAGAGCTCGGCTTTAAATGCCAAAGATGGTGGAGGCTGAGGTACCCTTCCCAAGTTTGCCCGGCCACATGAAGATCATCTTCCCAAGGGGCTCCACCGTGAACCTCCTCAAAGAGTGGAGCTCCAACGGTGGGCCCTGGGCTGGCAACTCTGCAGGTGAAACAAAGAAAAAAGGACAGAAAGAACGTAAAAAACAACAACACACACAAAAAACCCCACTTCTGCCTTCCTCCAAGACTCCTCCAAGCAGAGGTCAGTCTCCTCCGGACTCCATTATCGTCAGAGTCTTACAGGCCTCGCAATCGTCTTCCTCTCAGCAACAGAACAATTGCTCATCTGAAGGCTTAAAGAATGGATGATTTTTAAAAAGGCAAATATATTAGACATCAAAGTCTGGGACAATAGGTTTGGCTGGCGCAGTTATCTGGGATATAATAAAGTTAAAATCCATAGACGATTCCTCAATCACATAAGAAGGAAATCTCTATTTACTGTATAGGAAAGAAATAAAAAATTACTGGAACCCAAAACCCCTTGGTGGTTGTCACCGTTAGAGGCAACAGCAGTGAAAAAGAAAAACATGGATATCAATTGGCTGACATACAAGGAAATATTACAAGAAGAAAACAACTAATTTAAAATTAAAAAATACGAAGAACTAAAACAGGCATGTGTGAACTGACTACAATATTGCCAGGTAAACAACATTTTAAAATCAGACAAAAAAAAATTAATGGATTTGACACAAAGATATTGGATAGTAATAATAATATTAATAATAATAATAATAATAATAATAATAATAATAATTTATTTATACCCCGCCCTTCCCGATTTAAAAACCGGGCTCAGGGTGGCTAACAGGAAATATAAAACATTGATTAAAATATGACTTAAAAACAGCATAAAACAGCATAGAATACAACATAAAATGGAGCATCAATATCAATAAAATTCAAAAACTCAGAGGTCTTGGGGCGGGGGGGACCAGTCAATTAGACATCAAGATCAGGCTAATTCAAATTGAAGGCCAGGCGGAATATTTCTGTCTTACAGGCCCCGTGGAAGGAAATCAAGTCCTGCAGGGCCCTAGTCTCGTGGAACAGAGCATTCCACCAGGCCGGAGCCGTCACTGAAAAGGGTGAAAAGAACTATTATTAAATAATAAAAATATATTATCAAAAACATACAGATTATTATTGGATTGAAACTGTTGAATAGTGGAAAAGATGGACGAAGGACACAGCTCTGCTGGATTCTCAGCTCTTTATAACAGCAGTTAGAACTGCTGCTGGAATCAGACTGACTGCAGCCTAGCTGGCTGCTTTATATAATACTAATTAACTTGTAACAGTAACAACTCACAACTAGACAACCAATCAGGAGCGACAGTTTTCAATCTTTCCTTTACATACCGGTGGCCCTGAGTGAGAACTGCAACTAATCTTAATACATAACACCCCTCCCCACCTAGATGAGGTGTTAGGCTCCCCCAATCCTTATGTGCTGGTCCCGGGGGTAAGGTACCTTGGGTGTAGCAGAGTCCACACGAAGAGGGGCAAGGTCCGAGGCAGAGAGCCGGGCGGGGAACAGGAATGCTGGAACAGGAGGCTGTGCAGGGAACAGGAACACCGGATGGTCGGGAACAGGAGGCCGAGCAGGGAGCAGGAGTACCGGATAGTCAGGAACAGGAAGCCGAGCAGGGATCAGGAACACAGGAAGGTCCGAGCCAACAACGACGTTGCTCCCGCAACCTGGGGCCGGGCTGACTGGGCTTTTATCCTCTTCTAAGGCCAGGGGCGGTCCCGGTCCCCAGGAGCCCCGCCTCCTCTGGCCTTAAGGCGAGCACTCCTCCTGGGGGCAACCAGTTCCCTTCGCCTCTCTGCCCTAAGCCTCTGCAGATCAGGAGAGGCCGAAGGGTTACTGGGCCCTGGAGGAGGCTCACCTGTGGCCACTGAGTCATCAAGCCCCTCTGGGGCCCGAAGGGCTTCACCTGGGGCCAGCTCCTGATGCACTGCCACAGGTGCAGGCTCTTCAGCATCAAGGCCTTGCCCCAGTTCAGCCGGCCCTGGAGGCGGGGACTCCTGTGCAGGCCGGGATTCCTCTGTTTCATCCTCCGAATCGGAATCCCAGGCCATCACACCATCCCCCTCCCAGGCCCCCTCAACCGAGGGTCCGGACCCGGCTTGCCGGGATACGTCGCATGGAACTCTCGGAGGCAGGCAGGTGCATGGACATTGGCCGCTGGTTCCCAGGAACGGTCCTCCGGTCCGTACCCCTTCCAGTCAATGAGATACTGCAGCTTTCCCCTGCGGTATCGGGAGTCCAGGATGCGTTCCACCTCGTACTCAGGCTCTCCCCGAACCAACACTGGCTGCGGTCGGGGACGGTTCTGGTGGAACTCGTCGGGTGGGGCCACCGGACTCAAAAGGGACCTGTGGAAGACCGGGTGAACCTTCAGGGTTGCGGGTAACCGGAGACGGAATGCCACAGGAGAGATTTGGTCTACGATAGGGAACGGGCCGGTGAAGCGGGCGTCCAACTTCCGCGAAGGTCGAGAGGGGTGGAGGTGGCGAGTGGAGAGCCAAACCAGGTCACCGACGCGAGTTCCGGCCCCACCTGGCGGTGGCGGTCGGCCTGGGCTTTGTACGCTTCCTTGGCCTGGTGCAGTTGCTCCACCAAAAGCTGTTGCTGGGACTGGAGCTCTTGAAGCCACTCCGTCACCGCCGGGACCGCGGATGCCGGCAGCACCTCTGGAAACAGCCGTGGATGATAACCATAACTGGCCTGGAACGGGGTCTGCTGGGTGGACGCATTCACCGCGTTGTTATAGGCGAACTCCGCCAATGCCAGGTGGTCGACCCAGTCATCCTGCTGGTAGCTGCAGTAACACCGGAGGTACTGCTCCAGCACCGCGTTCGCCCGCTCCGCCTGGCCATCGGTCTGTGGGTGGTAGGCTGACGAGAGGCAGACCTCTGTCCCGAGGGTCTGGTGTAATGCTCGCCAGAACCGGGATGTGAACTGAACGCCCCGGTCGGACACCACGCGCTCAGGTAGTCCATGCAGGCGGAAGACATGCTGAAGGTACAGCTGAGCAGTTTCCTTGGCTGTGGGTACAGATGGACAGGGAGCGCAGTGCACCATCTTGGTGAAATGGTCGGAGAAAACCAGAAGGCAGGTACAGCCACGAGACGAGGGTAAGTCCACTACAAAGTCCAACGAAACTGTGTGCCAAGGGCGCGGTGGAACTGGCAATGGCTGAAGTAGGCCGGGGGTCGCCCGGTAGGCCCCTTGGCGCGTCGGCAGACATCACAACCAGCAACGTAGCGAGCCACGTCAGCCTTCAGGCGGGGCCACCAAAACTCACGACTGACCAGATGGGTGGTCCGATACCGTCCAAAGTGCCCCGCTGCCGGGGCATCATGGGCCATCCGGAGAACCTCCAGCCGCAGTGGCCCTGGCGGGATGTACAGACGACCGTGGTGCAGCAGGAGGCCCTGATGCAGGACCAGCCCCGGATACTGTGGGCTGGACCCTTCAGCCAGCTCCCGGAGTCGTTCCTGGGCCCAAGCGTCGACCCGCTGCTGTTCCCGCACCCGAACCTGCAGTGGCTGCGCCTCCTGGGTGGCCAGGAATGCGGCCGGAGGTAGGATCGTGGCGGGTTCTGCTTGCTGTACCGTGTCTGCGTTGTCTTCAGGTTTCCGGGACAGGGCATCCGCCTTCAGATTCTGAGAGCTAGGGATGTAGCGGATCCGAAACTGGAACCGGGAAAAGAACAACGCCCACCGGATCTGTCTTTGGTTCAGCTTGCGGGTGGTCTGGAGGTACTTCCAGGTTCCGGTGGTCGGTTCTTACCTCCACCGGATGTCGTGCCCCTCAAGATGGTGGCGCCAGACCTCAAAGGCTACCTTGATGGCCAGTAGTTCCCGCTCCCACACAGTATAGTTACGCTCCGCTGGTAGGAGCTGGCGGGAATAGAAGGCACAGGGTAAGAGTGGCGCTTCGGGCCCAATCTGTTGAGACAAGACGGCACCGAGAGCCGTACTGGAGGCGTCGGTCTCCACCACAAAGGGTCGAGAGGGGTCAGGATGTTGTAAGATTGGTGCCCTCTGGAAACAGGCCTTCAACCCCTGAAACGCCTCCTCTGCCTCCTTGTCCCAGGAAAACGGCGTCTTTGGGCGCAGTAGCCGGGTCAACGGGGTGGTGCGATGAGCATAATCAGCGATGAAGGTCCGGTAGTAATTGGCGAACCCCAGGAAACGTTGTAGGTCCTTGCGGTTCCGGGGTGCCGCCCATTCTTGAACCGCTGTCACCTTCCCCGGGTCCATTTGCACCCCATCCGGAGAGAGCCGGTGACCAAGGAAGTCCACAGTCCGCTGATGGAACTCGCACTTGCTGAGCTTTGCGTACAAACGGTGCTCACGCAAGCGCTGCAGCACGGTCCGGACATGTCCCTCATGGCGAGCCGGGTCACGGGAGTAAATCAGTATGTCATCCAAATACACCACCACGTACTTGTCTAACAAGTCCTGAAACACGTGGTTGATGTAGCGTTGGAACACAGCAGGCGCGTTGCACAACCCGAAAGGCATAACCAAATATTCGAACTGCCCGTACCGGGTCCCAAACGCTGTCTTCCACTCATCCCCGGCTCGGATCCGAATCAAGTTGTAGGCCCCCCGGAGGTCCAGCTTGGTGAACACCTGTGCCCCTTGCACCCGCTCCAGCAGCTCCGAGATAAGGGGCAAGGGGTATCGGTCTGGGACGGTAATTTTGTTCAAGGCTCGGTAATCATGGCAAGGGCGGAGTTCCCCACATTTCTTCTTAACGAAAAGCACTGGTGCCGCGGTAGGCGAGGTGGACGGCCTAATGAACCCACGCTCCAGGTTCTTGCGCAAGAAGTCCTGCAAAGCCTCGCGCTCTGGCTCTGTTAGAGAATATAAGCGACTCACTGGTAGAGGCGCTCCGGGTTGGAGGTCTATGCCGCAGTCAAAGGCCGATGCGGCGGCAGCTGGTCTGCCGCCGTTCCTCGAACACGTCCTGGTAGTCCTGATACACGGCTGGGAGCGTGGGTGCTGCCTCCTCTGAGGGCGCGGCCGCCAGCGTCCCGGATTGAGCATGGGAACATGGGTCTGGGAAGTGCACGGTCCGTTTGACCCAGTGAATCTGAACGTTGTGGGCTTCCAGCCAGTCCATCCCGAGCACCAGGGGGAAGCGGGGCATAGAGGCAATGTCCAAAGTTCGCAACTCCCGGTGCTGCTGGAAACACAGGACCAGGGGCTGGGTCTCCTGAGTAACGGCACCTGAACACAGAAGTCGTCCGTCAATCGCTTCCACCTGGACCGGTACTGGCTTGTTCCGAAGTGGCACCTGATGATGGGCGGCAAAAGCAGCGTCCATATAAGAGCGGGTTGCCCCTGAATCCACCAAAGCATGGGTGGGGATCCAGGGCCCACCTGGAGGGTATAAACGCACCGGAACCATAAGATGTTGCGAGTCCATTGATGCAGGCCCATTCTGCGCGGTTTGGGACCCCGGCAGCTAGGGCCATCAGCTACTGGGGTTGGCGGTCTCCTGCGGCTGGCGTTTCTCAGGGCAAGACCGAGCGAAGTGTCCACTTCCGCCACAGTAAAGACAGAGATTTCCCTCCCGACGCCGCGCCTTCTCTGCGGGGGAAAGGCGTGGCCGCACTGCCCCGAGCTGCATAGGCTCCTCCGTTAAATCAGTTGTGACCGTGGGGCTGCCGGAAAAGCTGGTGCCGTGAACTGGAAGTGTCGGCGACCCCGGGCCTGACGACGATCCTCCAACCGGTCGTCTATTTGTAGACTCCGTTGAATGAGAGTGTCTAGCGTGGTGGGGCGTTCCATTGTGGCCAACTGGTCCAGTACCTCGTCCGAAAGCCCTTCGAGATACTGGTCCCGCAGTGCCGAATCATTCCAGGTCAAGTCCTGTGCCAACAGCCGAAACTCCGTGGTATATGCGGCCACCGTGGACTTGCCCTGTTTCAAACGCCGAATCGCCCGGTTGGCTTGACTCCCTTTCTGGGGGTTGCCGAACGCGGCCTCCAAACGATTGCAAAACCCCGTATAGTCTGCCAGCAAGGGGGAGTCTTGCCTGAGTAGCGGCAACGCCCACTTGGCCGCCTGGTCCTTTAACAAACTAATCAAAAAGTGCACCTTGGTGCGGTCGTCAGGAAAGTTCCGGGCTCGCCCCTGAATATACAGCTTGGCCTGGGCCAGGAACATGGGAAAGCTGGCCGGGGCTCCATCAAATTTCTCAGGCAAAGCCACTGGGTACTTGCCAGGAGCCGGGCGTCGGCCCCAGGAGCCGGTAGGGCTTCCAAGCGTTGTTGAAGTGCCACAACCGCGTCACTGAGCTGCTGCACGGTGTGAGTCAAGGCCTGGTTCTTCTGGGCCAAAGCCACCAGTGCAGCCGCCTGGTCAGCCATGGCCTCTGGCTCTTCCCGAACGCACCCCTACGAAGGGGGAGTGCGGGTTGGGCGGGAGCAAACTGTGCTGGTCCCGGGGTAAGGTACCTTGGGTGTAGCAGAGTCCACACGAAGAGGGGCAAGGTCCGAGGCAGAGAGCCGGGCGGGGAACAGGAATGCTGGAACAGGAGGCTGTGCAGGGAACAGGAACACCGGATGGTCGGGAACAGGAGGCCGAGCAGGGAGCAGGAGTACCGGATAGTCAGGAACAGGAAGCCGAGCAGGGATCAGGAACACAGGAAGGTCCGAAGCCAACAACGACGTTGCTCCCGCAACCTGGGGCCGGGCTGACTGGGCTTTTATCCTCTTCTAAGGCCAGGGGCGGTCCCGGTCCCCAGGAGCCCCGCCTCCTCTGGCCTTAAGGCGAGCACTCCTCCTGGGGGCAACCAGTTCCCTTCGCCTCTCTGCCCTAAGCCTCTGCAGATCAGGAGAGGCCGAAGGGTTACTGGGCCCTGGAGGAGGCTCACCTGTGGCCACTGAGTCATCAAGCCCCTCTGGGGCCCGAAGGGCTTCACCTGGGGCCAGCTCCTGATGCACTGCCACAGGTGCAGGCTCTTCAGCATCAAGGCCTTGCCCCAGTTCAGCCGGCCCTGGAGGCAGGGACTCCTGTGCAGGCCGGGATTCCTCTGTTTCATCCTCCGAATCGGAATCCCAGGCCATCACACCTTAATTGTTACAACCATATACCATATATGCTAGCCACGGATTTGATTAGAATTACAGGTACTTCATACCGCATAGTCTTTCAGGTAGGCTGAATGTATATGGGTCCGGGTAGAACACCGAGGTATCACTGGATGGGCAGCCAAGCTGCTAGGGCCCAATGACACGCTCCCCCCCGGGACGCAGGTGTATGGCTCGGTTTGGAGGCTTCTATGTTGGCTTCTGCAGTGGAGGCTCCGGACTGCAGCTGTACCATAGGCTCTGGTAAGGTTTCTGGTACAGGTGGGCTGTACGCTGGAGTTTCCTCCCCAGCCTCGCTTGGTTGAACTTCAGTGGTACTTGGCAGCTGGCCTGCCTCTGCCCAGGCTGCCGGAGGCACTGTCCCCCCATCCGAATCCCCAGCCTGGGGGTGCAGTTGGTCAATGCTCCGGCGCCATATCCTGATATGACTTTGGCCCTGTAACCCCAACCACTACAGCCGGCACCCAGGGAACCTCCCCCGCATAGTTCCGTCTCGCTGTTCTAGCTTGGGGTTAGCTCCGCTGCCCTGCGGAGGCTTCACAGGCTATCCCAGAAGCCAGATCCCTCTTGCTGTTCTGGCTTCTGGGGTTCAGAATTTTTTTCTTCTTGTTTCCCCCCCCCCCAAACTACGTGCATCTTATCATCTGGTGCGTCCTATAGAGCGAAAAATACGGTACCTTCTCTTCTGGAATTAAGACACGTGGCGTGCTAGCACAGCCTGGGGAATCTGCCACTGTGAAATCTGGGTGCAGTTGGTCGAGAGGAGATTGCAGGCGGCGGCCCATCAAAAGTTCGGCAGGGCTCCAGCCTGTTGTTGTGCACGGTATTATGTGTTGTACAAACAGGTACTAGCCTACCCATTTGTGCCAGTCCCCATGTGCCATATGTGACAACGCTTCTTTAGCTAAGCAAACCATTCTCTCTGCCTGACCATTGCTGGCTGGATGAAATGGGGCTGTCAGAGCGTGGCAGATGTCCCGGCCAAGGAGGTAGCGCTCAAATGTACCCGACGTGAATTAGGCTCCATTATCCGATATGAGAACGTCTGGCAACCCATGTGTGGCAAAACGCCTCTGCAGCACTCGGATAACAGCTTCTGAGCTGGTTGAGGACATTAATACCACCTCCAACCATTTAGAATATGCATCCACGACCACCATAAAAGTGTGTCTGTGGAAAGGCCCCACTAAATCAATATGCACCCTTGACCATGGTGCCTTGGGGGTCTCCCATGAGTTCCCACGATGCACAGGTGGATCAGGTCTTGACTCCTGGCATGCCTGGCATGATTCGACCCAGGATACGATGGCCTTGTCCATGCCCAGCCACCAAACAAAACTGCGTGCCAATGCCTTCATGCGCACAATTCCCAGGTGCCCGACATGGAGTGCATGAAGGACGCGCTGACAAAGCTTGGTTGGAATGATGACCTGGTCTACCGATAGGAGACACCCCGGTGAGCTCAGAGCTCGTGCTGCCGTTGAACGAAAGGCTGGAACTCCGGATCAGTTGGCCCTTTTGGTCACCCCCTCCACACCCAGTTGAGAACACAGCTGGTGGTACGATCCTTGGAAGAACGGAGAGCGACGTCAGCTGCTGACAGAGGAAATGCAGGCAGTTCCTCAATCAGGAGTACCGCTGACAAAGACGCTGGATCTTCGACTAGCGTCGGCAAAGGCCAGTGGCTACGTGCATCAGCGTGCCCTGACAACTTGCCTGGTCGGTATAGGAGCCGATAGTTATAAGCCGCAAGGAAAACAGTCCAGTGTAGCATTCGTGGCGATAAAATCGGGGGGGATGACGGGCGGTCATCAGCCAGGATACCCAGAAGAGGTTTGTGGTCTGTGACGAGGTCGAAAACTCTGCCATAGAGGTATTTGTGAAAACGCTTAACTCCTGCCACGAGCGCCAGCGCCTCCTTGTCAAGCTGACTATAGTTCCTTTCTGTTGACAACAAGGTTCTCGAATAGTATGCGATGGGAGCCTCTCTGCCATCAGGGAAAGCATGGCTGAGAACGGCCCCGACACCGAAAGGTGAAGCACTGCAGACTAGGACAAGAGGAGGCTCCTCGTTGTACTGGGTGAGGACAGAGTCTGACGTTAATAGTGTCTTTACAGACTTCCTGGGGGGGCCCATGACCACGATGCCTTTTTGTCCAGCAGTTGATGGAGGGGCTCAGCGACGGTCGCTTTGTGTGGCAGGAACATGTTATAGAAGTTCAATAGACCTAAAAAGGCCTGCAAGTCCTTCTTGTTTTGTGGTTCAGGAGCCTGTTGTATAGCTTTGATCTTTGCTTCCATGGGGTGAATGCCGGAGCTGTCAACCAGGTATCCCAGGAACTCGACTTGTGGTACAGCGATCTGGCATTTCCCCCTCTTTAACTTTGAGACCTGCTTCTTGGAACCTGGTCAGAACATCCTGCAGCCGATCAAAAAGCTGTTGTGTTGTTCCCGCTGAGACGAGCAAGTCATCAAAGTAAGGTACAACGCCAGGCAGACCCTGTAGGAGCCGCTCCATTAAGCTCTGGAAAATTCCCGGTGCCATGCTGACTCCAAACTGCAGCCGATGACAACGGAAAGCCCCACGGTGCGTGACAATCGTCTGTGCCTCAGCAGTGGCATCATCTACTGGCAGCTGCTGGTATGCCTGAGCAAGGTTGAGTTTCGCAAAAACCCTGCCCCTCTCCCAGTGAGTGTAGTAAGTGTCGGACGACAGGGACGGGGTACGCATGCTGTTGGAGCACCTTGTTTATCGTGCACTTATAGTCAGCACAGATGCGCACTGACCCATCAGGCTGGATGGGCGTCATGATGGGAGTCTCCCACTTAGCTTTGCCTATGGGTTCCAGGACCCCCTGTGCGATCAGTTTGTCTAGTTGTTCATTCACCTTAGGCTTGAGCGCAAACGGTATGCATCAAGGCTTGACTCTGATGGGTGTGATTAGCGAATCGAGGTTAAAGGATATGGGCGATCCCACATACTGCCCCAAGGTTCCATCAAACACTTCCGAAAGCCCTGTGACGATGGCGTCTATTTCTGACTGTGATACACTGTGGATGCCTGTAACTTCCAACCCCAGGGACGCAAACCAGTCCAGTCCCAGCAGGCTGGGCCGATTTCCATCGACGACGACTAACTTCAGCGGTCCCAAAAAGTCCTTGAAGGTCACTTTGAACTTGCCCACACCTACAACTGGAATGTTATTTCCCTGATAATCCCTCAAATGCAGGTAGGTAGAGTCCAGTTGTTTCTTAGATAATTTGGGAATCAACCTTTTGATGGTACTCCAAGAGACAATGGACATGGCAGAGCCCATGTCAACTTCCATGTCGCATGGTTTTCCCTCAATAGTCACGGTGACATAATTTTTCCGGTATTCAGACCCATCAGCCTGGCCAACTGTCAGCTTGGCCGAGCAACGGCAGTTGGTGACAGCGTGGCAGTCCTTGTTAGCATACATTGTCGACGCCTTCTTGTTTCCCCGTGCCGGTAGCCTATCTGCTGGCATAGATGAGCAACAAACCCTCGCAATATGACCCTTAAGTGAACAACGCCAACAGATGGCATCCTTGAAACCGCATTTGGACCGAGGGTGGTTGCCACCGCAACCCGCACAGTCTGATTGGTCTGTCGTTCACCGTTTGACCCTTCCACATTCCTGCTTGATGCGGCAAACATCATCCTCTTCGTCTGAGCAGCCCTCGGATTCACTGATCTCTCCACGGTGGACCCAGGTTGACTTCTTTGAAATTGTTGGGCTGTTGGCCTTGCGGATCTTCGCTGTTGATTGTTTCGCTGCCTCTGCAGCTTGAGCTTCCTCGATGGCCTGTTTGAGAGTGAGATTGAAGTTGGCGAGGAAACGGTGCTGTAGTTTCTTGTCCCTCACACTGCACACGATTCGATCCAGCAGGGCATCACTCAAGTCCCGCAATTCACAGTGGTATGCAGCCCTCCTGAGGGCCGATAAAAATTTGTTGTCTCCCCCTCAGTTTGGATTCAATGATGGAACGCGGAAGGGCAGCAATTCTGGACACCTTGGGTGCATAGTGTCCCTTGAGTTTCTCAGTCAGCGTGTCCCAGGGTGCGGCCTGCACCACAAGCGGAGCCACAAGAGCCCTAGTCATCTCGAAAACTTTTGAGCCGTAGATGGTGAGGAAAAGAGCTCTCTTCCAATTGTCTGTCAAATCGGTGAAAGCATTTGCCTCAAGGTAGCATTCGAACCGAACGATATAAGACTGCCAGGACTCAGTTTCTGGCCAAAACGGGGGTAGAGGCAGTAGCGACGCCATGTTTTCCCAGTGCCGGTTGAATGGTGAAGGATGGACACTAGCCTCAGCGATATCTCAGCTCTTGAGTGTTCAGCTCAGCAGTTCAGCTCTGGCTGTGTCTTGTTTCATCCTATCCCATCCTTGTCGCCAGTGTTGAATAGTGGAAAAGATGGACGAAGGACACAGCTCTGTCGGATTCACAGCTCTTTATTACAGCAGTTAGAACTGCTGCTGGAATCAGACTGACTGCAGCCTAGCTGGTTGCTTTATATAATACTAAGTAACTTGTAACAGCAACAACTCACAACTAGATAACCAATCAGGAACGACAGTTTTCAATCCTTCATTTACATACTGGTGGCCCTGAGTGAGAACTGCAACTAATCTTAATACATAACAGAAACCTTCAGGACGAGGAGGTGAAGGAAGTGATGGTGAAGTGGGCACACGATTTTGGCTATCCAGTTGAGATGGGAAAATGGGGGAAATTATGGGAAAAAGACTTGAAATTCACAGCGTGCTATCTGATAAAAAAAAAACTTTATGAAAATGATTTACTGGTGGTACCTGACCCCATCCAAATTAGCAAAAATAAAGAAAAATAACAGCAATATGTGTTGGAGATGTAAACAAAATGAAGGAACCTTATTTCACATGTGGTAGACATGTCCCCAAATCAAAAAAAATTGGGACATAATCTACGAGGAACTAAAAAGAATGCTAAAGCACACTTTTTAAAAGAAACCGGAAGCTTTCCTATTAGGCATTCTAACGATAATCATCCCAAATGAAAATAAAAGAGTGTTTCTTTATGCGACAACAGCAGCTAGGATGCTAATAGCAAAATACTGGAAAAGTGAGTTAATACCAACAAAAGATGAGTGGCAATTAAAGTTGTGCGAGTACCTCAAACCAGCCATAATGACAGAACTAATAAGAGATCACTCACTGCATTTTTAAAAATTACAGAGAAAGCATGTGAAGAAATGCAGTGAAGATATTTTTTTTTAAAAGAACAATTGCTCACCTGGACCCCCCAGACTTGCCTGTTTCCACCTCCTGGCGACCCACAAGGATCTTTCTTGGAGACCATGGGGTAGACCTTGTTCCTCTTGCAGCAGCTCTCGCAGCCTCTTGAAGCTAAGAGAGAATGGGGAGAAGTTGAGAAACTGGAGCCCTGGGTTCAAGACACCCCTCCACCACCAGGCTCACAGGGTGACCTTGGACCAGCCCCTCCTTCTGCCCAGCCCACCTCTGGGAAGTCCAGATGAGGCAGAGGAGGGCCGCAGCAATGGACCTGATCATTGGGGGCCAGGGCTTCAAACTCACTGCCAACTCTTTCACTCTGCTCCTCACTGCCAACTGCTGATCAGTTGCAGTTAGTGCCTTTGAAACCAGCAATGAGTGATGTCACATAGGCTGGGCTGGGTGAGTCATGGTTGCCTTGACAACAGCCTCCGCACTAAAGCTGGACCACTCTGGCTCCTCCTTCAGAATGGGAAAGCAAGACCCTCCAAGTGCCCCTGTTTTCTAGGGACAGTCCTGGATTTTCAGAAGCCATCCTGGTTTCTGATTTGATCCCACAATGTCCTGTTTGTGCTTAGTTAGGACACCCCTATTTTCAGCGGGGAAATGTTGGAGGGTATGCAAGAAGCATAGGAGGCAGATTGTCTGGATGATAATCGCCTCAGAAGAAAATGAGATTGGGGCTGAGGTTGGGAGATGGGACAACTGGTGCCGCCTCTGCCATCCTATTCATGCCCACTACCAACTGTTTTAACTTCTCCCAAATTTTGTGTGTGAGTGTGCAGCACTCAAACTCCCTACTTCCTGGGGGACCCAACTAGGCTCCTGCCTAGTGTGGTGTTATAAAAAAACAACACCCTGCTCCTTTTCCCTTATGTGGTATCCAAGAGCCCATATAGAGTCCTTTAGTGGGTTCCTATCTGTAGGGGAAAATAACAGAGGCCAACCAGAGAATATTGAGAAGCAAAGCAGCTAGTAAGCTTGATCTTTATTAAACTGTTGCAACATGGTCCCCACTCACCACACACAGGAGGGAGAAGGAACTCTGAACAATGGTGCGCAAGCCCTTATAAAGACTTTTGAAATTTCCCACCCTGTAGCTCACGACTACCCCCAAAAACATCATACATACATCACAGAAGGAGGTGGTCTACAGCAGAAATCCTGTCTGCCAGGATACCTGGCAATGGTCACTGATTGCTTTACCTGGGAATCCCACCATTCTTTTGTGATGGTAAATACTGTACAGTGGTGCCTCGCAAGACGAAATTAATCCGTTCCGCGAGAGTCTTCATCTAGTGGTTTTTTCGTCTTGCGAAGCAACCCTATTAGCGGCTTAACGGATTAGCGCTATTAGCGGTTTAGCGGCTATTAAAGGCTTATCGGTTTATCGGATTAGCTGCTAAAAGGCTTAGCGGCTTAGATAAAGGGGGCAAAAGCAAAAAAAAATATCTCAAGACTCGCAAGACATTTTCGTCTTGCGAAGCGAGCCCATAGGGAAATTCGTCCTGCGAAGCAACTCAAAAACGGAAAACCCTTTCGTCCAGCGGGTTTTCCGTCTTGCGAGGCATTCGTCTTGCGGGGCACCACTGTAATTCCTGAATCCAGGTCACAGGCTCACCCGATTCATACACAAATACACCCTTAAGACGGGTAAGCAAAAGACAATGGAGAGGCTTTCCCATTTCCTTGCCCCTTGCAGAGGTCAATTTGGGAGAGTCAAAATGGTTTGGGAAAGTCAAAACGACTTCATGATTGCTTTCCTGTACTATTTCAGACAAGTGGCTTATATACTTATGTATGTGTTTACCTTGTACATTTAGGAACGTTTATTTTACATTTGGGACCTTAGGATTCTTATAACAGCGGTAAAGTCATTTTTTTTTGAAGGGGGGCACACGGGACGTGGGTGGCACTGTGGTCTAAACCAATGAGCCTTGGGCTTGCCGATCAGAAAGTCGGTGGTTTGAATCGTCATGACGGGGTGAGCTCCTGTTGCTCGGTCCCAGCTCCTGCCAACCTAGCAGTTTGAAAGCACGCCAAATAGTGCCAGTAGATTAATAGATACCACTATTAATAGGTACCACTATTAAGGTAAGTGGCATTTCAATACGCTGCTCTGGTTCGCCAGAAGCGGCTTAGTCATGCTGACCACATGATCCGGAAAAACTGTCTGTAGACAAACGCCGGCTCCCTTGGCCTAGAGAGCGAGATGAGTGCCGCAACCCCAGAGTCGTTCACGACTGGACTTAACTGTCAGGGGTCCCTTTACCTTTACAGATACAGCTCCTTGTGAAGGGCGCAAGGGACCCTAGGTATGCCTTTGCTCACAGCACTGGCACTAACTCCAAGGGGCCCTGGGTGCCTGGGAACCCACAAAAAATCCGGGGGGGGGGGGGGCTTGGAAGCGGCATCCTAGGCCTCACAGGGCCTCTGACACCACTTCCATTCCTTGCGAGGAACCGGAAGTGACATTGGAGGCCCCGTTGGTCCTAGGATGCCACTTTCAAGGCCCTGCAAGGCCTCAGATGGGACCTCCAGTTTCTCATGAGGTCTAGGAGTTCCTGTCTGAGACCTTGCAGGGCCTTAGATGTATTGGGGCCTTGAAAGCGGTGAAATGCGACCTGCGCACACGCAGTCGTGTCTTACGTTTACTTCAGGATGCGAATGGGGCTCTGGAACGGATCCCGTTTGTATCCAGAGGTACCACTGTATTTTATCCTCACAGCAATCCCCTGAAGTAGGTTAGTAGGAGAGACAGCGATATTTGCATGTGATATTTAGGGGCTGTTGCTTTTTAAAGATAACACACGTGGACAGAAGAGGGCGCCAGAGAAGCATATTTCAAAGGCACACAAAACCTGCTCGGGCCCTTTTCCTCTCGTATGACCAAACGTGAAAGCGCTTTCGCCCGATGTCGCCAGAATCCATCATGGCTGCTCAGCCACGCTTCTCTGGGCAACCCTCGCTTTGAATGCCTCTACCGCCAAAGGGGACACAGTCTCCTGGTCCATGAAAGTAGATGAGACTTCCGGATCCCAAACCTAGCATACAAATACAGTACTGTATTTTAACTGTTTTTCAAATCTATTTACTGTATATTGCTAATTTTAAACTTCTCTACACTCAAAGAAGGCCCACTGAAATCAATGAACCTCAGCTAGCTATGCCTATTCACTTCAACGTGACTTAGCCGAATATAAGTCCATGATGGCGGAATGGACCTACGTTTGGTCCATTTGAACGCATTACCCCCGTGGACATATTCAGAGCAAAACCTGGTTGGATACATACAACCCATTCACACGTGTGTGCAGCAGCGCGGGAACTGGTCAAACATGGGATTAAATGTCCAGTTACGTACTGTAAATTCAAATGGGGGGGGGGGAGAGAGAGAGAGAGAGAGAGAGAGAGAGAGAGATGTTGTCGAATGACTACCGGAAGTGATCGATGTTGACTCGCCAACCTCCACCCCTCTTCCTCCACGCATGTCGCTCCCGCTCCACGTGGGCGTGCCAGAAGTTAAAACGGCGGAACCGGAGGCAGCGTTTCGGGAAATCGCGCGACCGCGTGCCAGCAGTCAAGATGGCGGAAGCTGCAGCAGCAGCACCGGCCCCGGCGACATCCGTGGAAGTGCGGCTCCCGGTTCCCCGCCCTCGCCTGCCTCAGAGCTTCTCCCGCGAGGCGGGCGAGCGGGACAAGGACCTGGTGGCCCCCGGGGATACCATCACCACCGACCCAGGATACATGAGGTGAAGGGAAGGCGGGCAGGCAGGCTCCTTCTCATGGAAGCACCCACGTGGGTAGCTGGTTGCTTGGTAAAATACCTGCCGTGTTTGTGCGCGTGTTATGGGGCAAGCGAGGGGGACACAGCTATCGTGCTGCTGCCGCCAGCCCTATTCTTGGGGCTTAATCGGCGCCCCTGAACCTGAGCAGCCAAGAGTACCCCTGAGCATGTGCAGAACGATGCTCCCAGTGCAAGGGGTGGCATTGGATCTTGCTGGCTTCGGTGCTTGCTTAGATATTAAACCACATGCTCTCAGAGGCACTGTTGGTTTACAGATTAGTTGGTTGCAAGTCACTTAGTGCTGCCCTGGGCTGGATAAAGTGGCTAGCGGGTTTAGCCGCTAACAGTAAAATAATAGGGGAGAAGAGCTTGGCGGCGGTGATGGAGCAATCACTTTTATTTATTTATTTTATTTATTGCACATGATATGTACCCTGCTTGACTGTGGAAAAAGAAGCCTCAAGGCAATCTACAAAAGATAAACCAGGATCGTTGCTGATATACTCCTCCTCCATTAATTTTGTCTGAACCCCCTTTTTAAAGTCATTGAAGCCCGCGGGGCCTCAGCTTGTGACATTGAATTCCAGACATCAGTTACATTTGTGAAAAAAGTGTATCTCTATGACAATCACAGGAAACTACCCTAAGCCTAGCCAGAGCAATGATGCGTCTCGTTCAATATCATCTACGCTGACTGCAGGGTTTCAGGCAGGGGGTCTCTTCTCAGACCTACCTTGAGATCCCATTAGAGATTGAACTTGGGACCTTCTGCATGCAAAGCATGTGCTCTACTCACTAAGCTGCAGCAATTCCCCAGAATCTAGTTCAGTTCATTGGATGATCCTAGATTCTAGAATTCTGAGAGGTGAAGGCGGTGGTGGCGGCAGCAGCAGCTTCCTTCACACCATATGCTATTCTTTAAATGTCTTCAAACACTCGCCTGGTAGTTGCTATAGGTGAGACAACCTTGTGGACAGATGAGTGACCAGGGCAGGGCAGGAGAGAGAACCCTTCATTCCTCTATTTCTCTAAACTAGAAAGCCTAAAATTTTTAGTTGCATTCTATATATCGAAGCAGAGTAAGGACAGTATAATGCACAGATGAGCAATGATCATATTCTGATGTTTTTAAAATGATCTACAGAGTTGTGTGCCAGACCATTTATTTTTCCTATTCTCTGGTAGAGGCCATGGGACATACCTGGGAGGCGAGAAGCTCATTGCCTCTGTGGCTGGTGTTGTGGACAGGGTGAACAAGCTGATCTGTGTGAAAGCTTTGAAAACAAGGTAAGAGGTTCCAGAAGAGCAGCTGACATACACTTCATTTGCACGATGCATTTAAAGCAGTATTGCACCCCTTTAAACAGTCATAGCTTCCCCCAAAGAGTCCTGGGAACTGCAGTTTGTTCAGGATGCCGAGAGTTCTTAGGGGACCCCTCTCTTCCCTTCAGGGAGCTGCGATTCCTAGAGTGGTTTAACACTGGGAATTGTAGTTTGTATACCACCCTTCATCTGTAGCCCTCAGGACGGTTTACAACATAAAAATACAAGATGAAGAAAACTTGTTGGCTAGTTTGTCTGTCATGTGGATGACACATTGAATAGTTGGCTCTTTTGGATGCCCTCCTTGCCAGAAGAATATGTAGTTCTTCTCTCAGAGGCAGCCATTCAAAGTGAGTCTGGTTTCTTGTAGAGTGGCAACATGAGCGTTGAGTGTTTTCAACTCACAGTCAGTAATGGCCATCTTCTGTGAGTCATTGACCTGCAGCAGGTTGGTGGACAAGACAGGGCACATGGTCCTGGCATTTTGGCTTGCTAGGCACAAGTGGAGATTTAGGATCAGAGTTTTCCTTTCCTAGGTGGGCTACCTTCCCAAGTAGATGAGCCCCATCTGCCCCTCACATCCCTCTACAGCACGTGCAGAAACTTCATTCTTGACTGTTGGACCTACGATTGGTCTACTCAATCCGCTGGAGCCTGTCTTCACATGCAGGGGGGAGTCTCTAATTCACCAAGGGTTTGAAATTCATCGGCTACCCTCTCCTGGTTTAGCTGGCCAGTTGAAGCTGCTCCTGGTGTGTGGCTTCTGTCTCATGCTGACAGCTTCTTGAGCTGCAGATGAGAGCTGAGGTCAGGGTGGCGAACTACCCAGAAGGAGCAAGAACAAAAACACATGCAATGTGGTTGCAGCATTACATTTTGTGATGTTGATGTGGGCTTACGCAGCAACTGGTGACCCTTTTAAAAAACAATACACATTTACGCTCGCAGTGAATATTTGGTTTCAGATGCTTTCCTTGAGTTTAAAAGTGATTTCATTTGCTTCCGCAACTTGCACCATCAATCCTGGCCACTGGTCTTGCTGCCTTTAGGTGGACTGTTGAGAATAACAGTTGGGGGCAAGGGAAGTGTGCAGGTTCCTAGCCTTTCAGTCAAGAGAATTCAGGTTACCAAATAATCATCTTTCTGAGAGTTGTCTTTTATTTTCCTTGCAGATACAATGGCGAAGTTGGTGATATTGTCGTTGGACGAATCACAGAGGTACTGAGGCTATCACTTTTTTTTTTAAGCTGAAGGTGGAGAACCTGCACCTCTCTGGACGTTGCTGCACTTCAGCTCTGGTCCGTTGGCATGCTGGCTGCAGGGACTGATGGAAGCTGGAGGCCAACAGCATCTTAGGGGCAGACCACACAGCATCCTTACCCCAGATTTGAAACATACACAACATACCAACTTTTGTATTTTAAAAGTATTTAATGAGAGAGAACATGTCGAGAGGAAAATGCTCAAATGGTCATCAAGGTAGTTTATGGTTTGTCATGGGGAATCTGAGGCGGCCCTCTAGGTCTCTGTCAGGCCCCCGGGGCTCTCACCAGGCTGCACACTCTACCAAGTCTTCCTCAAGTGCTCTCGCCTAGCTGGATCATGTCCTTGAGTTGTGACTACATCTCTCCCTTGGTTGGACAGAGAAAGCTTTCTGTGTGGGCTTTTGCCTCTGGCCCCACCCTAAACTGGTGTGCAGCCCCCAAGAATCTCTCCCTGAGATAGTGCAGCCCTTGAGCTGAAAAAGGTGCCCCTCCTCTGTAAAAACATTACATGGTAATAACATACCTGCACACAATTGAGGCACTTTTGGTTCTTGGGTCAGTGGATAAGGCCAGACTGATCTTCCTCTTGCCATGCTCCACTGAAGAGAAATCTCTTGACTTTAACAAGTACTTAAGAAAATGTGTTTTTTTCCATTTTAGGTTCAGCAGAAACGGTGGAAAGTCGAGACCAATTCCAGGCTGGATTCTGTCTTGCTCCTTTCATCCATGAATCTTCCAGGAGGGGAGCTGGTGAGTGCCTCCCAAAGCTGCATCAGCTAGGAAGCCTTGGGTGTTTTATCTAAAGACACCCTAGCAGGCTTATTGGGCCCTCACATAAGCAAGGGCTCCATTTCCAACTCCTGAGCACACAGAGAATAACACTCCTAGTAATGGTTAGTGTGTATGTTGTGATTTTGCTGCCTGTTTGATATCAGGCGTATGCTCAGAGGCACTCTTATTGCATTTAGGGGAAATGACTTTTGGCTCAGTGGTAAAGCACATGCTTTTCAAGTAGAAGGTTCCCAGGTGGCATCTCCACACAGGGCTGGGAGATACTCCCTGTGTGAAACCCTGGAGAGCCGCTGCCAGTCAGTGTCTGACTTTGGTATAAGGCAGCTTCTTATATTCGTATTTAAATCAGAATCACGAGGACTGGAATTTTTACTTGTACGAGGAACAGTCACAGCTCAGTGGTAGAGCCCCTTCTTTGCATGCCGAAGATCCCAGGTTCAATCCCCGACAGCATCCCCACATAAGGATGGGAGAGATCCCCCCTGCCTCAAACCCCTGGAGAGCTACTGCCAGTCAGTGTAGGCAATCCTGAGAGAGATGGACCTCGTGTCTGACTCAGTATTAAGTTCAACTGACTTAAGACCTATTTAAATGAATGACAGCCTTCTAATTTTGCTTCCTTTAATGGGTGCGCCTGCATGTTTTTCAGAGGCGGAGATCAGCAGAGGATGAACTGGCAATGCGAGATTACCTGCAGGAAGGGGACCTTATCAGTGTATCCATACTCTAGTACTTGGCCAGGGGGAAGCCAAGGGCAGTGAAAAATCTGATAACCGCCCTATGTTGTTGGACGCCTCTGGACCTTTGGCCGTACTTGCTGTGGTTGATGGGAGTTGGGGAAATCCAACACTATCTGCCATAGGTTCTCCTTCCCTAAGCTAAGAAGAGGCATTCCCTACTCCCTACTCCCCATCAGCAAATGCCTGTACAAAATTAGCTGATTTCCTTAAGCGATCCTGACAGGCAGAAGTCCAAGCGGTGTTCTCTGATGGGGCTGTATCGCTGCACACACGGAGTCTGAAATACGGAAAGGTGGGTCAGCTTTACTTGCTTGCTGCTCTCTGTGTGAAGTCACTCTGCCTGTCGTGTGCCACAGAAAAATCTGGACATGTCCCTGAACATGTGCCAGTCTTTAAAAGAGGATTAAACAAAGCTATGGTGGAGAGGACTATCAAAGGCTGCTAGCCATGATGGCTATGCTCTGCCTCCACAGTCAGGCGCAGTAATTCTTCTGAGTGCCAGTTGCTGGAAACCACAGGAGAGGAGAGTTGCTTTTGTGCTCGAATCCTGCTTGCAGGTTTCCTTCCCACCAGCATCTGGTTGGCCACTGTGAGAAGAAGATGCTGGACTAAATGGGCCATTGGCCAGATCTAGCAGGCTCTTCTTATGCTCTTACATTCTTAGAAGGCTCAGCTGGGCTGCAGAGATACCGTACTGGCAAATGCTTTGTATATGGCACCTGAAATCAGTGGGGTCCTTCGTTCAATGCTTGCTCTTGGGATCAGATGATTGCTCCACTGGCTTTTGCTCCTAGGACAGGGCATGTCCTTGCCAGGTGCTTTTAATTCCCTGCAGAAGGTAGCCTGAGGAGATAAAGAGATCAAGTTCCCCAATTAGAATATTGTGAGAATCTACTCCCCTGTTTTTGGGCTCTGAACTTTGATCTTCCTGGGGCTGTGATTCTAAGACCATAAAGCCCTCCTACCTTTTTTTCCCTATTTTTTTTTTTGGAAATTGCAACACCTGCTCAGTGTAAGTGATTATTACATTTACAGGAAAACTTTCTCTTTTTTTTTTTTTTCTTTCTGAGTCCTGGGGCTCAGATTTAGGGCTTTATGAGGTTGGGAATTTCTTACAGTCTTTGCTTTCCCCATCTTGGGATAAAAGCGGAGGGAGGGTCCCTGCCAGGGAGTAGGTTGCAATTGAGGATTATCCTGCCCACTTTGGGGGATTAGCATTTACTTAAAAGATGAAAGGAAAAGTGTGATTATGGAATAAAGGGTGAAAGGACAGCAAACTGGATTAAAAAATGCGGTGAGGAATAACTGCTAAAATGGGCTGACTTGATTAAGCCTTTGCTATTACTCTAGGGATGGATTTTTAAATCTCTTTGGTAGCCCCATGATCAAGGTATGTTTAACTTTCTCAGTAAGCAATGTTGGGTCCTGTACCTACATATCACCTGCATTCTCTGCTTCTATTAACAGAGTTCTTTCTCTGTTAGGCTCTGTTCCAGAGCTTGTGCTCACATTAATTGCTTCCTGGGAACTTAAATAATTAGTTGGTATTCCAATAGTACTTTGAAAGCAATCCATGTTCTCTGTAACCCTTAACAACCACTCTGTAAGGTATTTCCTTATACATTTCCTTCCTTCCTTAACAAACTTCAGTGAACATTTTAAAAACAATTACCAGAGAAATTACCGCAGTGCTTTAGATTGTATATTCTGTGGATGTGAGCTGAATCTGTAATGTAAAAGATTTTCCAGGTTTGTTTTGATGCCATTTGGATGACTGCATTCAAGACTTAATGTCTGTACATGTATATCCCACCTTTTTCTCCAAGGAGCACAAAGTGGCATATATGATTCTCTCCCTCCTCATTTAGTTCCCACGGCCCTGTGAGGTAGGCTATAGGCTGAGAGGGAAGACTGGCCCAAGGTCACCCAAAGAGCTTCACGGCCCAGTGGGAATTTAAACCCTGGTCTCTCGAAGGCCCTAGTCCTCATTTAATCCTCACAACAACCCTGTAAAGGTAAGAAACAGTGATTGGGCCCAAGAATATAAGATGACCCTGCCGGATCAGACCAGTGGCCCATGTAGTCCAGCATCTTGTTCGTAACACCCTCTCCTCCTGCGGCTTCCAGTAACTGGTTACTATCTCTGGCCATGCAGGTGGAGCATAGCCATCGTGGCTAGTAGCCATTGATAGCCCTCACCTCCATGAATCTGTCCAATCCTTTTCAAAGCCATCCATGTTGGTGGCCATCACTGACTCCTGTGGGAGGGAGTTCCATATTTAACCTATGCACTGGGTGAAGAAGGACTTCCTTTTATCTGTCCTGAATCAAGGTGAGCCAGGGAGCTTCATGTGGCCTCCAAGGTCCTAGTGTGACATGCTAACCACTACAACACACTTTGCCCTCTTCCAGCACATTGGAGCTTTCCTCTTGCATCCTTGGTGCATTAACCACCACCTTCCCATCCTGACTGCTCTATGCTGACTTCAGGTCTGCATCTTTTTCTCTCTAGCTTGGCCAAGGTGTGCTCGTCCAGGTGTCCCCTTCCCTTGTGAAGCGGCAGAAGACCCATTTCCATGACTTGACTTGTGGGGCTTCCGTTATCCTTGGCAACAATGGGTTCATCTGGATCTACCCAACACCCAAACAGAAGAATGAGGAGGCTGGGGGATTCATCACCAACCTGGAGGTGAGCCAACAGGCCTTGGGAACGCAGCAGAGAAAAGCCCTTGGCTGGAGTTGAATGAATAAGCTATTTACTAGGTGTTTGCAACTGGCAGCCTGCAGCCAAGTCTTGGCATTCTTCTCTTCCCCTTGATCCACCCCCCAAGGTGAGGGATGAGCAGTGGTGCTGGACGTGTTATGAGGTTCAGCCTCCTACCTAGTTAAGAACATTCTGGGTCAAGCCAATTGCCCATCTAGTCCAGCATCCTGTTCTCACGGTGATTGAGCAGATGCCTGTGGGAAGCCTGGAAGCAGGTCCCGAGTGCAATAGCACTCTCCCTTCCTGTGTTTTCCAGTAAGTGGTATTCAGAAGCATTGCTGCCTCCAGCTGTGGAGGAAGAGCATAGCTTGTACCCATTGTGGCTAATACACATTGATAGCCTTCTCCATTAATTTGTCTTATCCTCTTTTAAAACCATCCAATTTGGTGGCCATCACGTTCTCTTGTGGGAACGGGTTTGACAGTTTAACTATGCACTGAGTGAAGAAGAACTTTCTTTTATCTGTCCTGAATCTTCCAACATTTAGCTTCATCCACAATATGTCCACAATTTCCATCATTACAGTTTTAGATTGTAAAACTGGGAAGTTCTGTGTGAGATCCTGGGAAGATTGGCTGGAGAGTGTTTGACTTTGAGGGCTCGCTGTGTTAGCCTGTAGCAGCAAAACTAACAGTCTTCTGGTGTCTTATAGACTGCTGTTGTACCTGAACTGACAGTTCACCAGAACTAATGTTCATCACTAGAGGCTGTCTTTTGCTTTCTCTCCTGTTCACGTTAGGTCTAAAGTCCTGTTCACGTTAGGTCTAAAGTCTTTCACATCACACTTGTATGGTCGACACGTATCCCTAAACCATAGTTTGTTACACCACAGGTTAGCATAGTGGTTCCCCAACTTTTTCAGACCCCTGCCACCGTGATTCTATAAATGCCCCCCCCCGCCTACTACCCTGTGAAAAGCATTATTCAGAATAGCAGTTTGCATGACCCACTAAAGAAGATATTAACAAAGTTCAAAACAGTAACAGTTACTTGCACATTTATTCAAAATCTAATTTAAACCATTTAATTTAATTAATTCAACAAAATTGGTGAATATGATTCAGTGACACCAGCTTTTCAAAGTCTGATAGATCTGTATGCCTTCAGTACCTCTCCTGCCTTTTAGTTACTGTTCCTTCCCACCCCAGGTAACTCCACTGCCTACTTACAGATTGACTGACTTAGTGTTGTGTGTGAACTCTGACTGGCGCCTTAACTATGGCTTGTTATTGCCAGCAAACCACAGTCTGCAGCCATTCTTTGGGTTGCAAATCTTGGGTTTGTTTTAACTGCAGCTTGGTGTAACGTGTGTGAACTTGGGGTTCTTCCTTCATCACTCTCCATTGTTGCTCCTGAGACAATGGCCACTGACTTCATGTGGGTTCCTTACTTCCCCCTTTTAGCCAGTGCCCTTGTCTGACCGTGAGGTGATTTCCCGACTCCGGAACTGCGTTGTGGCTCTGGCAGAGCAGAAACAGATGCTCTATGACACCAGCATCGTCTACTGCTACGAGGCCTCCCTTTCTCATGAGGTGATGTATCTTATTGCTGCTCTTTGTTCTGGGCTGTGGAAGGGTGGCAGGGGTGGTGGCAGGCTGGCTTGGCTATACATCCACACGTGCACACACTTCCACAGGCCATAATGTTTTCCTGTAATGAAATGGGGTGTCCATTTCTCCCCACCAATGAGTTGGCCCCTTGTATATCTATAGGACACTACTTCCTCTTCAGTTATTAATGCACGCCATAAGGGTGTGACTTCCAAAACTCATGCAGTCTCTCTTCCCCACCGCCCTTTCTTACACAATCTTAGTGTGAGTATAATGTTAGAATGGGGTGTGGCTCTCAGTATCTGGAAGGGATCCTGCACTACTGAATTTGCCGTTACACTGCTGTTCATGAACGATGACAGTCTGAAGACAAACACAATCTCTTTAACGATGGATGTGAGAATATTTTTTGCCAGTGATGTGAGCCCAGCTTCTACTGAGCAGTTTGCAGATGTACACCAACCAGTAAGCCATCAGACGGGCTATTCACTTTTATGAAGATTTTGATTGAAGCACATGTTGTCTTATCCATTTATCCTTTTCCTTGAAAGTTCTGGTGGTGAGAAATATCCCCAAACCTACAAGTACTTTTAAAACAATTGCAAAGCTGCTTTGGGGGGGGGGGGGGAGAGAGAGTTGGAGACATTACAGATCAGTGCTGTACATTACAGGTCAGCCAGCTTCTTCCTGCTCAAACAGAAGCATTCTAAAAAGCTGTAGGGCGGGTTTAGATTGACTACAAATTGTTCCTGAACCGTCTGTGCTGTGTGTTGTGATCTTCTTTGCATGCTAATTCAACTTTTTTTTTTTTAAAAAAAATAGCAGATCAAGGACCTTCTCAAGCCAGAGGTGATGGAGAAGATTGTGCTGGAGACGCGTCAGAGACTGCTGGAACTGGAGGGGTGATTGGAGAGGGAAAGTGGCGAGGCAGTGATGGTCCTTTCTTTTCAGGGATCTAGCCTCCCCGATGTGTTTTTTTCCCCCCAGTGTGAGATTCCATTACAAATTCCATACCAAATAGAAAAAGGGGGACTGTGGAAACAATGAGAACTTTTGCTTAAGAATCTTGGTATCATGTGTTATCCTGTGGCCCTCCCAATGAGGCTGGACTACAGTTCACACTACCACCCCCAACCACTAGCTGTATTGCCTGCAGGCGCTGATAAGTTGGGCTCCAGAAGGATAGGAGTCCAACAGTTTCTCAATGGCTACTGCTTCCTCAGCCCCTGACCTAGCCAAAATGCAGCATCACATTCCTTTACATGTAGCCAGCATCCTAGAAAGCATCTGTAATACTGTGGATGCTTCAAGCTATGTGTGTGTGTGTGTGTGCAGGGTGGGGTGGGGTGAATTATTTCTTTATTTTTACTGGAGATATTTCAATAAACTAGTTGTTTTTAAAAAATGAGTGCATATGTGTTTGAGAGAGTTTTCACATGGAAGGTACTTCTTTAAGCAGTGCAGAGTTAAACTATGGAACTTTCTCGCATAGGAGGCAGAGATGGCCACCAACTTGGATGACTTTGAAAGAGAATTGAACAAATTAATGGAGAACGAGGCTACTGATGGCTACTAATGTGTCTGGCCAAACAAACCATAGTTAAGGATGGGTGCCAGGTTCACCCATAATGCCAAGCCACAATTAAAGCAAGGTAAGGTTTGTAAGCGGGTGGCGCTGTGGGTTAAACCACAGAGCCTAGGACTTGCCGATCAGAAGGTCGGCAGTTTGAATCCCCGCGACGGGGTGAGCTCCCGTTGCTCGGTCCCTGCTCCTGTCAACCTAGCAGTTCGAAAGCACGTCAAAGTGCAAGTAGATAAATAGGTACTGCTCCGGCAGGAAGGTAAACGGTGTTTACGTGCGCTGCTCTGGTTTGCCAGAAGCGGCTTAGTCATGCTGGCCACATGACCAGCTCCCTGCACGCCAGCTCCCTCGGCCAATAAAGCAAGATGAGCGCCACAACCCCAAAGTCAGTCACGACTGGGCCTAATGGTCAGGGGTCCCTTTACCTTTACCTAAGGTTTGTGAGCCAGTAACAAATTGTGGTTTGTTGTCAGTAAGCAAACCATAGTTTAGGTAGGATGCAGGTGATCAAACAAACCATGGCTTAAGAAACCATTAAAAAATAATTCTATACCACCCTTCATCTGAGGATCACCAGGTGCTTTACAATATAAAAAGACAAAAATGCATAGCATGGTAACAAACAAAACAATTACTCCCCAAACTCCTAGTGTTACCTGCTGACTCATTTTTATATGCCACGCAACAACAAAGCTTTCTAAGGGAGCTTACAAGAACATTAAAAATAATACAAGACTAAACAATCCTACTCAAGAGGAGATCCATTTAAATGAATAGGCATGTCTAACTGAAGCCCATTCATTTCAATAGGTCTACACTGAGTATAACTTCGATACAACCTAACATAACCAATACATTTACTTTTAAAATCTGAATTTATTTAATCATTGCATTTATATCCCACCTTCTCCAAGGAGTTCAAGGTGATGTGCATAGTTCTTTCCCCATTTTATCCTCACAACAGCCCTGTGAGGTAGGGTAGGCTGAGAGTATGTGACTGGCTTAAGGTCCCCCAGTGGGTTTCATGGTTGAGAGAATTTGAACCCTGGCCTTCCAGGTCCTAATCTGACACTAACAAGTGAGCCTTTTTGGAGAGAGCATTCCACAGTCAGAGGGTCATTCTGGAAAAGGCCCTTTCTCCAGCAACGATCCATTTTACTTTGTTTGACAAGGGCACCTGGAGCATATCAGGGTTCCAGGTAGGTACATGTGTGAGGAGCTGATTCTAGTTAAAAATAGTGGTGCATTGCATTCTTTTGGGAGGCTGAGGCAGCCTCACTAACAACCAACGGCTCCGGTAGCCCAAATAGTCTTTTGTGTTTTGTTTAAGCTCATTGCACAACCATTTTTCCAGGAAGGATGGAGAGAGGGATATTCTTTGAACCATCCAGTTTCTTCATGAGGGGAAATCCCAGTGTGCTGGCAGGAGCTAAACGCTAGGTGGCAGACTGCTCCTCGAGAAAATCATGTCAGAGTTCTCTAAGACCATGAAACCTATTTCCTTGATGCAGGAACAAACTGTCAAAGCTTCAAGGTGCTTAGGTGTTTTCAGTGACCAGAACAGCTAAGGTAGGTTGACCCTTTACTGTTGTATTTATTAAATGTCATGTTGGCACATACAAAGTTTTTATACAGAGATTCTAGCAGCAAGGTCAAAGAAGAAGAAAACCACTCATTTTTCCATAACTTGCACAAAACTCAACAAAGAAGGGAGGAAAGAGTAGCATTAAGAAAGGAATAAGAAATAAAAGAGAGAGTAATACATATATTCAAGCTTCCCCATCTGCTCCTCTGCTTAATGGAAAGAGTGAAACCACATAAAAAATAAAATTCATAGCAGGGCAAAATAGATCAATCAATCAAATAGACTTGATCTTCCTAGATTTATGCCCTTATATTAAGTTTTTGAACCCAGTCAGACTGGAGATTGTGGAAAAGATATCTATACTGATGATTTGAAATTGGGATTGCAAAGCAATAATAATAATAATTGCAATGGGACCTAAGGGTAGTTAAGGAAGGGATGTAGCTCAGTGGTGCAGAAGGTCCCAGGTTCAGTCCCTGGTATCTCCAGCTGGAATAGTACCCTGCCTGAAACCCCGGAGAGCTGCTACCAGTCAGTGTAGGCAATACTGAGCTCGGTAGACCCAGTGTAAGGAAGCTTCCTGTGTTCCTATAATCTCTGAATCCAACTCAAGATATTTTATCTTACCTTGCTTAAAGCCAAAAGGTTGAGGGAGCTGGAGTCAGGACCTTCGATTTCATTTGGGGCATGTGAGGAGGAACATATGGAAGAAGGCTTCCCTTAAGGTATCCAAATTGCAGGGGATTTAGTGCTTTAAAGGGTAACATCAGCACCTTGAACTGAACTCGAGAACACATCAGCTTGTGCAAAATGGAAACAAAGGGCCTGGCACCCATCAGCCACTTGACCTATGAATTAGTTTACAAAGACTTCAAAGGCAGACCCACGTAGAGTGCATTACAGAGGACTTGCTCAGTGGCTGCTCCCATACTTTGGAACTCCCTAGGGAAGCTAGGTGACGTAATACTAATTGCTCAACATAGAGGACACCAGGGCATGGCTGACCTGGGGAGTCTCTGATTGCAGCACTTGAGTTTGGGTATTGCTGTTCTGGACTGGACTATGGCAGAGCCATAGTTCCAAAGAAGCTTTTTCTGGAATAAAAAAGAAAATACGAAAGTGGGACCTTCTATGCTTAAGTTCCCCATGACTCTTTGCTTTTCCCTGCTTAATTATCTCATACCAGGAATGCTTTTCATTGCTATCTTTCACCAACCTAGACATCTCCCTGTGTTTTTGTTTAGCTATAAAGAAGGGAGGGGAATGAAGGAAACTGTCCCCAAAGCAATATGGATGTCAGGGAAAACAAATTTATGACGTGGCAGTTCAGAGAAGGCCCAGGCTTACCAGCTTGTTTACAGCACAGTTCAAACATGCACCTGAGAGCTTTTTCAAGTCTTCCAGAATGCCACAGTAGCTGCCTTGCAAAGTCAGTTTTCTGCTTTTGGCACATGGCAACGTGAGAAGTTCTATAAATCGAGAAATGTGCATTTTAGTGTCACGTTTATTAAGCTCCGGGGCTGCTTTAGTGTCAGATTAGGCATGCTGCCTGCTTGCTGTAATAAAGATAGAGGAGATACGTTGACGCTAGTGAAATGTCTTCTTCTGAGTCTCTCTAGTTTTTGAAAGATATTGTCTCTGTGCAGATGACAAATGGCTGGATTAATTATTGTACTCAGAAAGCAGAGGCAAATTGGGGTCCCCGCAGTGGCATTATTAGCGATGAGGCCGTTAATGAAGCAGAGGATATCTCCAACATGCTGTGTTCACAATTCCCTGTAGTTCAGGAGATAGTACTTCCCTCAATGAAACATCATGCCGTCATTAGGAAAGGAATAGAAAATAAAATGACTAATATCAGAATCACATTATACAAATCTATGGCGCGACCACATTTAGAATACTGTGTGTAGTTCTGGTCACCTCACCCCAAGTAGGATGCTGTGGAGTTGGGATAAGTTCAGAAAAGGGCAGCTGAAACGATCCATGGGATGGAGCAATTCCCCTTTGGAACTTTTAAGAGAAAAGGCAGAAAGATAGAAGCGTATAATCTTAGGCATGGCATGAAGAAAGTGAATAGAACAAACTTTTTATGCCTCTCTTATCACATTAGAACACTAGAAGCTGGATGCTGGAAGATTCATGACTTCCCTTATTTATTGTCAGAAGTGCACACTTACAACAGCTCCCAAGGTACTCCAGATGCACACACACACACAGCATCTAGAGTCTAGACAGCTGTTTGCAGGTCTGTGTTGTATGGAGCAGTTGCAGCAGCAGTGGGACCATGCACCCCCACTTCAGCTTATGTACCCTCATCTGATGAGATGACCACATGCAACCTTAGGCTTCTGAATGGAAACCATCACTGCTATTCCCTCGTTTCTAGGAGACAGTGGAATGATGATAATGATGATGATTTTATTATTTATATGCCGCCCTTTTGACTGGGCTGCCCCAGCCATTCTCGGCAGTTTTTAGCAAAATGTTGAAAACACAGTAAAACCTCAAACATTAAAAATAGAGAATGGTAGGGATTCAACTGGCTACACGCACTCATCAGAGCCCCTGTCAGCCCCTGACACACACAGTAGTTAGCAATAGCCACCAAGGCTATCAATGGCTACTACACATCATGGCTGTATTCTGCCCCCATGGTCAGAGACAGTAACACTTTTTGAATACCAGTTGTTGGAAACTGCAGGAGGGAAAAGTGCTTGTGCTTGGATCCTGCATGCAGGTTCCTCACTGGTATCTGGCTAGTCACTGTGAGAACAGGATGTTGGGTGGGATGGGCCATTCATCTGATCCAGCAAGCTCTTCTTACGGTCTTACCAGCTGGTGGGAATCACAAGTGTGGAGATTGCTATCATGCCCTGGTCCTACTTTCAGGCCTCCCAGAGGCATCCAGTTGCCTACTGTGGGAACTAGGCTAGCTGGGCCATTGGCCTGGGCCAGCCAGCTCTTCTTACATTCTACCTCCACTTCCAGAGGCAGTATGCCTCTACTGCCGGTTGCTGGGATGTGCAAGTGGGGCGAGTGCTGTGATGCTCAGGTCCTGCTTGTGGGTTTCCTGGAGTTGGCATCTGGTTGGCCACTGTGTTACAGGATCCTAGACTAGATGGGCCATTGGCCAGATCCAGCAGCTAGGCTCTTCTTATGTTCAAATGTACAGCTGAATGAGTAGGCACACAAGTCTCCTGATCACATCTCCACTATAGTGAGACATACTGCATTTCTATTTAG